GCACGGCTCTGCGCATGGTGGCGGGAAGCCACTGATATGGTTATTTCGTTCTGAGTACATGCCAAGTCGCTCGCTGCAACTACCATTATAGCAGAAAGGCTGTATTAACACACCATGTGCATGCGCGCGTATGTTGGTATGTTATGTGGACGCGGAAGGAGAGGACGAGGTGCATCCGTGCGTGCGGAGCAACCTTTCCCGTTTAACGCACTGACGAGGAGCCGGACTTCGACCAGTGAGCTGAAGACGGCTTGCCTAGCATACATTACATAGCACTGTATGTACACATGTACCTGGGACTTTTTGATGCCGGTGGTGAGACGGTGTGGTCGGCTTCATCAGCTCACGAAAACCGTTGAGCTGCTTGGCACGCTGTCGACTGCACGAGTGGCGTACGTGCAGCGCAGCAACCGGCTGTTCCGCTACCGGGACCTCGTCGGCAATCTACCTACCTACCTACCTACCTACCCGCACAAACCATCCGCCTCACGCTAAGTCATCTCGTCACGGCGCCTTCAGGAATCTCAATTCCTCGGAGGAGATGATAAATATCGCATCGCCTGCTCAGGGATTCGTAATTATACTCGGGCAATATCACCAACGTATATGTGGAATATAGGCACAAGATAGCCGTAGTCGCGTTCCACTTCAGGTACTCTACATCCTTGTTATGCCGCAGCGTATACGCAAAGAAAAACCGTCAATGCAGACGAGGTACCTCGAACTTGTCGCTAAGCTCCCTCACAGCATCGAGCAACACCCTATCATCGCGATCAAGCATATCTCCAGCCTGCTTGACGTCCGACGATGGGAACAGCTCATCCTCAATCTCGCATACGGCCCCCGCAGGCGGCAACTTCCCCTCGCGGAAGTAGTCTCGCACGTACTTCGCCGTGCACAGCGACGCGCCAGCGAGAGAGCAATGCTAATCGAGGGGGGGCGAGATCAGCCTGGACACCTGCCAGAGGTCGACCGGAAACCTACGCCAGCAGAGTTCTGCGTCAGAACGGCGGCATCTGGGAAGCCCTTCGCCATCTTGTGAGCGCTACGGCTTCCTGTCAATGCTTGTGCTACACAACGATGGACGACAAGAAAACGCACTTCCAGAGAGGCGTGACGGGGTCGGCGGTGTTGCCAATGAGAAGGATCGGGTAGCTGGTGTTGCCGGCGAAAGGACCTGGTCCGCATCGTCGAGGATCCATCCAATGGGCTACATTCCAGTACCGAACTCACCATGGAACTGCTCCTTTGACTGTATCTTCCATCCCCTATAGAGCCCAATGAGAGACAGCGATGGGGATCATCGGGGCCAGAGAACAAGACCAAAGAGAATACGCACGCGCAATCCAAATGGGCAGACCAGAGCTCCGCAAAGTTCGAGTCGTGCGCCATCTCTTCGTAAAACGCGCGCAGCTCCTCTAGATCGTGCTCTACCGGCTTCCCGTCGCCGCATGCAATCGCCAGCGTCGTCTCCCGATTCGCGCCCGGCAATCTGGTCGGCAGACTGTCCCGCGCACAGTCGCACTTGATTGTGGACTCTGGTGCGTGTGCAGCCCACATCGCCGCGCCGTCGCCGCGTTCGAGCGCCGCGAGCGCGGACGCGAGCGAGGGCGCACTTAGGGGCGTCTTTTGGTAGGGCTTGCGGAGCCAGTCGAAGACGACCTGGCGCGCAAGAGTGTAATCGATGAGGCCGTACTCAGTGTCGTTGAGAGACACAGGGATCGGGTTCTTCCGGAGCTCGGCGAAGAGGGCATCAACTCGTGATTTGACGGCTTTCGGGGTTGGCTCATGCAGGGCGCAGGACGTGCTGTTGGCGCAGGCGGCGTAGAACTGATCGAGTGCCTAGGAGGATGGGGAGGGTGAGTGTGGAAACGAGAAGAGGAATCTGAATATACTGGTTCTGACCTTGTCCGTGTCGCGGAGGCTGTTGTTCCAGAGCGCTATAACGCAATGATCAGGCTATCCTCGTAGCGTTGGGGTGAATGTCTATGCGTACCCTCCATGTAGTTTTCGCTGTCACCTATCCCTGTAAAAAGGGTAAGTAAGATTGGAAAAGCGTCTGGTTTACGCCCTGACCGTCCACGATCATGCGATCAATGTTGTCCTGGGAAGATTTGATGAAATGAGCACCATCACTCGAACACGGCATTCCGCAAACGTACAGGAAACATGGACGCATAGCTACCGGACGCATAGTCAGCATCTGCGCTTCAAAGGCAGCAGGGGTCAAGACGAACGTAATCCCCAAGATAGTGCCGTAACTGCACCCCAAACACACGTCAGCCCAGAGGCCTCCCAGTCGCACCCATCAGCTGCTCACCTGAACCCCCAGTACAGTAACCTCTCTCGCCCGTGTGCCCGCATGATACTGAACATATCCCGCGCGACCATGGGTGTGCTCACGTACTGCGCTAACTCGCCGATCCGCTTCTCAGCGAGGTCGCCAAAGATCCGCGCGCGGGCGTAGGCTCGTGCGAGGGCCTCGTCAGTGGCATTGAGTGCCGGCCCGCGCGTGAGTTGCCAGGCGACGCTCGCGCCCTCGTCGTCAAAGACGACAATGCCGGGCGTGGTGCCCCCGATGCCTGCAAAGTGTTGCTCAGTAACTAGGAAAGGGGGAAGGATAGAGGGGGCGGGCAACGACGAACCTCGGGGGTCAAAACCAATGAGGTCGTAGTCGTCTGAGGACGAAGTGAGCGTCGGGCATGTTGGCGGCGGCTGCGCGTACCTCCGAGGATCTGTTGGAACTGCTCTCCTGCGCGTTTGATCAGGTCCACGCCAGAACCGCCTGGCCCTCCTGAGAAAGGACACCCGGGTTCAGCTTACTGTTCCGCACCAGTGGCGACCAAACTGCGGCATACCTGGGTTGAACAGGATGGGTCCGCGATAACCCTCCGCGCCCGGCGCGATCTTTGACGGGATCTTCATGAGCGCGATCGCGGCCATCTTCCCGGTTGGGTTTGAATAGTCGAGCGGGACCTACATGGGAGACATCAAGATGAGCCCCTGCTTCGGGTAGTCGTTGAAGAAGACTCACGGAGAGCCGGGCGCATTCGTAGTTGTCCTCGCAGATGTGCCAAACCAGTTTCGAACTCGGAACAACCTACGGCGTCGTTCAATATCAGATGAACGTGTTCTCGGGATATCTTACATAGGGCGGTTCAATCTCGTACTCACCGCACCCCAGTCAAACTTGGCCGCTTGCATGATATCCTCCGAGCATCGCGAACGCGCAGGTGCCGCGCCCAAGTCGACGGGCCATACCTGGCTCAAGTACGCGCCCTTCGTCCACAGTGCAAGTGATACGATGAGCGCGAGCCCGATCATATGTCGCGAAGTCAGCCAGCGGCGGCGCGGACGGCCAAGTCCTGCGCTCGCGCCGGGCAGCACGTCACTTTGCACGGGCTTTCGGGGAGTAACAGCGCTCATAGTCGTCGTTTACGGCGGTTCGAAGTGAAGTCCACCATCCCAGTAAGCATTCGCAAAGTGTTGCACACGGTTAATGAGTCAGGCCAGGTAGGACCAAGACGATGCGCATTGTGGTATATGATCATGATCTCATTCGGACTCGGTGCCGCTGATGCGCGCGAGGGTTTGACCCTTGCCTGTCACACCCTAAGCCCAAGGTTTTGATAGCCGGTTTGTCAATGAAAACAACAAGTATTTAATGTGTTGTACTATGTCGCTCCGCCGAAAGCTCTTCAGTGCAGACGAGACACCACGAACTGGTCGGTGAGCCCTCTCATCGCGTTCAGAAGCGCCCTTTCCTCCTCGTTAAGCACGAGGTCCGCTTGCTTGATGTTTGATGAAGCCGGGAACAGCTCGTCTTCAATCTCACACACCGCGTCCGCCGGCGGCAACTTGCCTTCGCGGAAGTAGTCGCGGACGTACTTCGCCACGCACAGCGACGCTCCTGCCAGGGAGCAGTGCTAGACGAGAGAGAGAGCATGAACGATACGAGAGCTGCAGGAAAGGCGTGCGAGACCTACACCGGCAGAGTTCTGTGTTAGGACGACAGCCCCTGAAAAGCCCGCCGCCATCTTGTGAGCGCTGAAAGCGGCTGTCAGCAGCGAGGTTCGAAGCGGTAGGGATGACACGCACCTCCATAGGGGCGTGACGGGGTCAGCGGTGTTCCCGATGAGCAAAATCGGGAAGCTGGTGTTGCCAGCGAAAGGACCTAACCCATCGATTGGCGGACATCCTCCAGCGCAGGCATGAAGAGGAGCCTACCGTGGAACTGTTCCTTCGATTGTATCTTCCAACCCCTACCAGACGCCGGTGAGCACAGAGGGGACGCCAGTTACGAGCATGAACACCTACGCGCAGTCCAGCCTCGGCTCCCAAACCTCCGCGAAGCTCGAGTCCTTCGCCATCTCGTCGTAGAACGCGTGCAGGCCCTCGACATCGGTGTCCACCGGCTTCCCATCCCCGCACGCAATCGCATAGAAGGACTCCCAGCTCAGCAGCGCCGCCGCCGGCTTCGTGGGCGAGCAATCGCACTCCAGCTTCAGCTCGGGCTTGTGGAGAGCCCAAAAGGGGCGGCCGTCGCCCCGCTCCAAGGCAGCGAGCGCGCTTGCGAGCACCGGTGCGCTCATAGGCGCCTTCTGATACGGACTGTAGAGCCACCAAAAGACATTTTCGCGCACGAGGGTGTAGTCGACTAGGCCGTAGTCGGTGCTGCCATTGAGCGAGACCGGAATGGGGTTCCGGCGGAGGCTGGCGAAGATGGCATCGACGCGAGACCGGACAGCGTAGGGCGTAGATTCGTGCAAGGCGCAATCCGTGCTGTTGGCGCAGGCGGCGTAGAAGATATCAAGCCCCTGTGACGATGGGTCAGTGGGATGGATTTTCGGGCACAACTGGGCTGGACCTTGTCTGTGTCGCGGAGGTTGTTGGACCACAGCGCTTGATCATGAACGCCGAGTTAGTATATCCTGCATCCGTGAGACTAGAATATATGCTCATTGTCCACGTAATTCTCGCTGTCGACAACGCCTGAAGGACGATCAGTTGGGTCCGGAGAGGCGGATTCAGGGCTCACCGTCAACGATAATGCGTTCCACGTGGTCCTGTGACGAGAGGTGATGAGCACAACGATGGCGATTAAAGCCTCAAGCGAACGCACAGGGAACATGGACGCATATCTGCCACAATGTGCAATTAGCGCGCACTCCCGAAGGTACCATACCCGCGGTTTACGCACGTAATCCCCAAGACGGTTCCGTAGCTGCTCGGGGAATGCGTGTCAGCCTTGCGAACTAGCGTCCATAGGAGCGGAGGTTCCCCTAACCTAAATCCCCAGTACTGCAGCTTCTCCCTCCCGTGCGCACGCACGATGCTGAGCATGTCGCGCGCCACCATCGGCGTGCTGACGTACTGCGCAGCCTCCTTCCTGCGTGCCTCGGCGAGGCTGCCCATGACCTGGGCGCGGGCGTATGCGCGGGCGAGGGCGTCGTCGGTCGCGTTGTACGCGGGCCCGCGCTTGAGCTGCCAGGCGGCGCGTTCCCGCTCGTCGTTGAAGATTGCGACTGAGGGCTCCGTGAGCCCGACACCTGCAGACGATGAGGTCAGGCAATGAACTCTTGGCATAGGATACAGAGTAGGGGAGCAGACGTACCACGAGGGTCGAATCCGATGATATCGTAGTCATCTTGTTTGGTCGTATGGTTAGTGAGGGTGGAGAGTAGGTCATCTCGGATGGTTCACCTCCCAGGATCCTTTGGAACAACTCTCCGGCGAGCCTGACGGTGAGCACTCCAGAACCCCCGGGACCACCTTGCGGACAACATCTCAGTACGCAGGTGATGGCATCATCAACAGCTGGCGCACCTGGATTGAACAAGACTGGACCGCGATAGCTTTCGGAGCTGGGTGCAACTTTGGAGGGAACCTTGATGAGCGCAAGGGAAGCCTTCTTTCCCGATGGGTTCGAGTAGTCGAGAGGCACCTGGCCAAGGCTACGTCGGAGTCACGTACATATTCATCGCGGCAGGGGACATACAGAGAGCTTCGCACATTCGAACTTCTCCTCGCATGGGTGCCAGACGAGTTTCTCTCTCGGGACAACCTGCACGCAGGAGTTGGAGTAACGCGTAGCATGAAGACGGCTGATCGTTCCGACTCACCACGTTCCAGTCAAATTCCTCCGTTCCGTCGCGCTGCGAGCACTTCGAGGACGGCTTGTTCCCGTGCGACCAGGTCAAAGCTGGGTATCGCATCCATGCTAGCGCGAGGGACACCAAGATCGCGACCACGAGTAAGTTGGGCGAGAGACGCGAAACGCGTCGAGTATTAGAGAACTCAGATGTTTGTGCGTGTTCGCCACCAGGTAAGAGCGAGTGAGCATCCCGGGCATGCTTTTCGCGTATAGGGACGTCCATGGCGAGCAATCGCCAACCTGCATTCTCATACTCCGATGATACATATAGGCGCCATCAATCTGCGCACGACTGCGCATATCGGCTCCGCCGCCCACGCGACTACTGTGCAAGACGATCGAAGAGACCGCTGCAATGTCACCGCCCTCTATCAGGACACATTCAGTAGACTCACCGCGGGTGATCATGGCATTAGTGGATACGCGTTGGTGTGAAGCCCGAGTACCTTCTATGCTTACCGCGAGGATGAGACCAACTCCAGCTTTCCCTTCTGAGCGTTACCACACACATCTGAACAATACGATGTGATTTTGGGCCGTTGATAGTCGCCGACACGATTGTCATAGGCATAGTATTACAGGCAAGAGAGTACGGTATGGCATCGATTCCACAATCAAGAGCGCCGTCAGCAAGGTAAAGCCCGTCCCTTTGATGTAACAAGGTAGGGTGCCGAACGAGCGATGTCAACGCCAACACAGTCCCGAAAGACGGTCGTGCTCATCTCTCTGCACGCAGCAATCATCCGACGATTGATTGTGGAAGAATCGAAGAGAAAAATGCAGTCGGGCGCGCTCTTTTATAGGTGGCTGACGGACTGCGCACGGACCATGCCGGCATTCCCGCCGTTAGCCGAGTATCTCTTTCTAAGTCGTAACACTCGACGACGACGACGGCCATGTCTAGCTCGGTGGATGTTCCTCCTTCGCGGCAAGGCCAGGCGATGGACGTCGATGGCGACGTTCTCGAGTCTCAGGGCGCTGCCGGTCGGTCAATGCCCGCCGCTGGACCAAGCGATACAAGTGATCCCGCCGCGACCCTGCGTGCTGCCGCTCTTATGACTCTCAAGCGCGGCAGGCCAAGAAGAGGATCCTCCGTGGTACCTGCGCCTCCCAGGAGACCTCTCCCTGCTTCCAGCCGTGCGGATATCATTCCTCCTGATTCTGTACAGCTTGATTACGGGTCTGACGAAATGATACCTGCCGTGGTGCCTGTCTCGAAACCGGCCCCTGCATCCAAGAACGACAAAGCGGCTCCAAGTGACGACAAATCCGCCCCCAAGGACGACAAAGATGCCTCCGAAGACGAGGAAGGTCAAATACGAGAAGAGGGCGAGATCAGTGATTCAGAGTCCACTACACCCCAGCATCCCTCAAATGTCAAGACACCAGCCCCCAAAAGTACACCTGCAGCCGAAATGCCCTCGCCTACACCTCAGATACCCAGCGTCGACAAATTGTCCCTAAAACCACATCCTATACGGACTTCTCCTCCCGCCAATCCCTCAACTGGTAGCATCGCCCCTTTGGTTGCCTCTCCGATTTCCATCGCACCGACGACTAGATCATCATCATTGGATACTGTTCAGCCCGTTGTGGACGAGAATCACGTCCGGCCTGGTCTCGCAAGTAAGCGCCGACACGCTATCAGTCTATTCGCGCGTTAACTCAAGATTTCTTCGCAGTGACCCAAGTTCAATACTCGACGGCTCAGGACATCATTCTTGATTTGCTTGGATGGGGCGTTCCACCTGAATATCTTGTCGATTACGGCCTCAGCCGGGAGGTTATATTCTACGTCTTTACCGATCTTCATCTGCGACTACCTAGCAATTTGGATTGCACTGGCCTCGCGGAATGGCATCCACCGAATGGACGACTATCGGCGCCTTCAGATATGCTATCGACAAGGGTCCCTCCGCCTCTGCAAGCATCAAGAAGACGCTCTTCCGGACATCCATCTTTACCTCCTAAACCCAGCGTCCCTCAAGGGCAGGTAGTAACTCGCACTTCGTCGTCTGGCCTTTCGACTTCGGCGGCTCCGTTTATCCCCAACACTCAACCTTCTCCGAACACCCCATTGAGGCCGTCTTCTAGCCTCAACGACATGGAACAACAGCGTCGTCAAGAACTCCTGGCTCGCAAGGCCGCTCTTGCGTCAAGGAAGTTAAAGGCAGCGGCATCACTTGCGGAGACTAGTTCGCACTCTACGCCCTCGTCTACTGCTTCTTCACCTCGGGCGCCGCCATCAGCCTCTGATATCGTCATGAACATGGCCGGCGGAGCCCCGAAGCTTACCTCCGTCGCGTTTGGAGATTCGTTCGCGAGCATGAGCACCAAGGCCGTGCCGGAAGCGACCGTGGAAGAGCTGCTCAGGGCGGCGCTCGTGCAAGCATCTGGAACGGCATCGGACCCGAATGTGATGGACGTCGACGAGCCGATCCCTGGCTTTGGACAGATCACGACAGCATCCGGGTCTGGTTCCACCTCCGCCTCCGCCTCACGCGCGTCACCCCCTCATCACACCGCGGATCGTGCCCCTCGCCCTGGATCAAAGACGTCAGGGCCACCACCCGCTAGCGGCAGCGCCGCGGCGCCGTTTCGGAGCCCACCACACGACGCGGACGCCACCTCCGCCAACGGCACGCCATCGGCAACGTCGGCTCACGCCGAGGACGACGGCGCCGCCCCACCGCCGTCCGCGTCTTCGTTCGGAAGCGAGGCCTCGACCGTGCGGCGGGGGACGAAACGACCCGTAGCCGCGGACTTTGTGGACTTTGATCCCGGCCCCCGCGCGCGCTCGCGGAGCAATCCGCATGGCCAGCCGGACGAGGTGAGCCACGGCCATGGCCAATCCCTGGCCCGGCTCTCGCGGAAGAACGGAAGCTTTGCGGGCTTGACGGGATCGCGGCGGTGCGTGATCGAGCTCAGCGACGACGAGGGGGACGATGGGCGGGGCGATGAGGGCGCGAACGGGCATGGCCAGAGGAACGGGCATGAGGGGGGTGACAACGATGGGCTCGCGAGGAACGGCAGACCGTTCTGGTCGCCGGCGCCTCATATACCGTACGCGAGCGGGGCGGCGACGCCGACGACGAGCATGAGCCCGCGGATGCTGACGCAGAGCCCGGCGGCGCTGTTGGAGAAGGAGCAGGAGATCAAGCGGATGCGGGAGATGATCGCGCAGAGGGAGATGCTCAGGAAGAAGAAGCTGGCGGTGCGTGCTCAACCGCGCTGCGCTTCGGTGGGGATGGTGGTGTTGATTTGAAGTCCAGCTTCAGGCGGTTTCTGGGGCGACTACAGGGCCGCCTACGCCGGTGTCGCAGATGCCTGGGCCTACGTCCAATGGCACTACGTTCGCAGTCACACCGCTCGCCAGGACGCCCGAGGTTACCGCACCGACGACACCCGAACGCAAGGAAGACAGCAACGACGATGTCCACCACGGTTCGATATCTTGATCACGCATAGAGGCCGATGCGTGTCTGGCGTGCGCTGACAATCCCCTCCCACAGATGACCCCGAGCATGTGAAGACTGAACTGAAATCGCCTCTGGCGCTCAAGATGCCTATCGGTTGAATACATCACCGCATACATATGAGACTTTCCACTGACGTCTTCATGGTCTAGGTGCTCTCACCGGCGGTCCGCCGCAGACGATTGATCAACAAGGCGAGTGTCTTCTCACGAGTCGGTCTGCCGCCTTGCACGAGTTCCCCCGCTCACGTTCCCCATGGTACCCCGCGTTGTCCATTGCCGTAACTTCCTTTTGCGTCTCGTTTCGCGTTACTGCTCACCCAGCCTCGATGCCTGATTCTAGAGACGACGCTGCGGCAAGGATCAGTTTAGCGATTTCGTCATAGCTTTTCCTGATTATAGTTCTTTTGTTTCTGCTTCTTTGCATGTACATTGCTCGTTGCCTTTGTCCTTTTTGTTTTTATCTTTCCTTGACTACTGCTTCTTTCTTGTTTTTCTTTCTACGCTTGTTTCACCTCGGCTGCCCTTGTGCTTTTTGATGAACAGATGGCTGCGGATGTCTCACCCTCAAGTTCGGATCATGGTTCGCCGGGCGGTTCATATGTGAGCATCTTTCCTATTCTCTTCACCGACGATGGGATGCTTCGGAGGCCGCCCTCCGTCGCTGCTGACCATCCCGCAATTACAGGGCCGGGAACCGGGTGGTTCTTCTTCGTCGTCTCCTCCGGCGCCTCGAGACCAGGAACAAGAAGAACCTTTCGGCGACGCTGACGCGCAGCAACTACCGGAGCAGCAACGTTATGAGTCTTATCGGTCTTTATTCGAGTCGTATCCTCTTCTGCGTTCACGTCTTGGCGTTGGTTCCAGGAATGAGATGCGACCTCGGAATGTCCTGCGGCTGGCGTCGACACCCTCCTCATCGGCGATGGCCTGCCCGGATCTGAGGCCGCTCATGCTCGCCTCGCTGCACAAGCGCCTGGCATCTGGCCCGAGGGTATGCCAGTTCGAGGTGCCTGGGGGCGGCGAGTGCCGGGACAGCACGTGCGAAGATCTGCACCTCGGCCGAGCCCTGGATGCTGAACCCAGTGGTGCGCGACATTGCTCTTCCGTACCCGTGTAGCTAAACATGGCTTTTCCCGTTTCTGAACGCTGCCCCCCTACCTTCCTTCCCCCAATTGCCCTCATATCCGCCGCCGCGCGTTCGTGTTTATCTCCTCGCTCCTCGCCCCCTCGCCCGGCGCCCCCATCTGCCTTCTCGTGCTTCCTTCTTGTACTTCTTTCCTCTTTGGTCCTTTCCTCCCTTTCTGCAGATGACGACACGGCGCGGTTCTTGTACGAGTCGCTGCCATTAGCGGCGTCCTCGCGGCCCAGCATGAAGGCAATCAAGGTGGCGCTTGAAGAGCTGCGGGCCCGACATGGCCGGGACTTTGAGCGGCGGGTGAGCGATGCATGGTCGCTGATCGCGCCGCCCGGGAGCTAGCATGGGGTTGCTTCGAATGTCAAGACGGCCATAGTGCTCATATGGGATGCGGGAGAAGAGCGCCACAGGCGCCGCCGAGACCTGGGGGAGGAGACCGACGGGCTCTTTCTCGTGTTCCTCGTTCCTTTGTTTACCGCTGCCTGTCGATTGATTGCTGCAAACTTGTTACGTCCTCGTGATCCACATTTGGGCAGAGCAGCCCTATTCCGGGCAGTGGCGTGGGTGCGCGTCTCCGGCGATGGATCGGAGTTACGTAAGAACCGCCCTGAGTAATTTTACGTAAGGTTTCTCCTGAAAAGGGCTGGGGGGGCGGGGGGGCACACCGCCCCCTTCCGGTCTGCCCCCCCTTCCCTTTTCGTCCGCTCTCCCAGTTTGGTCGACCGAACAAGGACGACGCGCTCCTCGGCAGCCACACACCGCAAAATCGCAGCGCCCCCCGCCCCCTCCCCGCCCTACCCTACCCGCCCGCCGTCGTCGTATGGCCTTTCGCCCGGCTCCTCCGCCATCGTACGGATATTCGAGCGCTATCCCCACCGACATACCGGCCCCACCCATGGAACCCACCTCCGCCACCACGGCCCCGTCGCGCAAGCGTCCACGCACTGAGCCTGGACAGCCCACCGTCGGCGACGACGCGTTCGTCGCTGACCCCGAAGCGGGCGACTCGGGCGCGGACGACGACGACGACGAGGACAAGCCCAAGGATAAGAAGGCCGGCCGGCGCAAGATCAAGATCGAGTTTATACAAGACAAGTCTCGACGCCATATCACGTTCTCCAAGAGGAAAGCGGGTACGTTCCATCGCGGAATGAGTCCGTCCCCCGTATGAGCGAATAAGTGTGCTGACTTATTTTTGTGGGGTTGTTTCGCATTTTTGGCCAGGTATCATGAAGAAGGTGAATATAAAATTCCATCCCATCCACCCTGACGACGCGCGTCAACTGTCTCTCTTTCGATCGCACGCGTGACTGACGCATATTACGCGCCCTCTCCGTCTGTAGGCGTACGAACTCTCGACGCTCACCGGCACGCAAGTTTTACTGCTCGTCGTCTCCGAGACCGGGCTCGTATACACCTTCACGACCGCCAAGCTCCAGCCGCTCGTCACCCAACCCGAGGGCAAAAACCTCATCCAGGCGTGCCTCAACGCGCCGCACGGCACGCTGCCGTCCTCGATGCCCGTAGGAACGCCTTTGGGGCGCACGTCCGGCGCGATCCCCGGCCCGATGAACTCGAACGTGCCCGGCGGGCTCTCGATCGGGAACAAGGAGGAGGACGCGGGCGACGACAAGGACGACGACGGCGCGCGCGGCGGCGCCTCCCAGGACGCGAAGCGGCGCCGGCGCTCGTCGACGTCGCAGTCGGCGCCGCGCCCGACGAGCACGCAGAGCCCGAACCACTCGCCCGGGCAGCCGATGCCGCCGCCGCTGACCATCCCCGGCAGCGGCGCGCCGCAGCAGCAGGGCGCGCAGGCGGCGCTGCCCATGGGCTCGCCCAGCACGCAGGCGCAGCAGGCGCCGGGCGCGCAGGGGTACGCGCCGCCCCACGCGTCGCCGACGACGCCGTACGGGCACCACGCCCCCGCGCACGCGCAAGGCGACCCCGCCGGCATGTACGGCGGGCACATGATGGCGCCGCCGGGAGGATACTACTCGCAGCCGCAGGCGCCGCAGGGTGTGCAGCAGCACCAGCAGGCGCACGGGCATTGGGGACAGCCGCAACAGGTGCAGCCGGCGAACTCGCACTACGGCCGGCGGTGATGATCAACGGGCGCGAATCGAACGGACTCTCCCCCCCACCCCCCTTCATTCGTCCCTCGTCTCCCCCTTCCTTTCCAACCGCCGAAGATGGAGAGCGCGCCCCGCCCCGATGCTTCTTTATGCCGCCCTGTGCGAACGCGTATACACGGATAGAGCCGCACGCGGATGGCACCCGATACCTGACAAGGCGGCGGCGGCGGCGGCGGCGGCTCCGTTGCGACGACTCACGGTTTTTACGCCTTCTTGATGATGATCCCACCCAATCCCGACTCCAAGGACCGACCCCGCCCTGATGCTACGTGATGTGCGCTCTGTATGCTATCCCTCTTGCCTCCCTTTATACGACGGTTGTCATGGCACGCGGCTGTTGGGTAAATCTGTAACTGCAAATGCGACTTTCTCCTCTTCTGTTTTTGTCTTTTTTTTTCTTTGGCCAAATGTAGTTTATGGTGGTGGCTCCGTCTGACGAACGCTCTCATCCCGACGTATATACCAACCGTTACAGTCCGACGCTGGTGGGGGTCGCTACCCATTGTCGTTGTAGGCTCTCTGCGTTCCTCACTCTCGGTAGCTGCTTTTTCCCTTTCCCTCCTCCTCGCACGCACTCAAGAAATACAAAGGTGTTTCCTCGTTGTAACATACATCGATATACCACTTGTTCGCTCGATCGGGACGCGTGCTTGCCTGCAAAGGAAAAGGCGTCGAACACCCGCACCCCGGTTATTTATTATGGCACGCGCGCGTGGTGCGCTGACGGATATGGAAGCCCAGGGTGCGGGGGCCGGGAACAAAAAAAAAAGGACCACGAGTCGCCGCTCTGGGCCCCCCAGGGTTTCAGGGAGGTGCGGAGATCCCGGCGTCTTTACGGATCTCCGGCTCGATGGCACCCCGGTGGGACTCTCACCAAGACCCTCCCTCCCTCCCCGAGTTCTCCCAGATCCCTTCGGATCACACAAGCGTACCAAGGCGTTTACATTCCATGGGTGCGCGGATTTGTCAACAGGACGTTGGATATGGACAACGTTTTTTTACACAGGTCAGGCGAAGGGCTCCGACCGTGGGTGGGTGTGTCTCTCTCTCTGCGCGCAGAGCCGCAGCGATAGGGAATATTAGAGTTCGCGCGCGCGAGTAGTATCCGCACCGCCGGGCGCGATCTCCCTTTCCGGACACAAGGCGCACGGGGCCTCGGTCGCCTCGGCAGCCCTTCAGTTTCCGTCCCCGCAATGCCTGCGGCGCGGAACGCCACCCATCGGTTTCGCGCACAATGGGGGGAAAGGGAGCAGCAGAGCGGATCTTTCGGATCTTCCCCACCGATAGGGCTATAGCCGCGAGATTAGCGAACCCAACAGCAAAAATTCCAAGGGCCAAGCAGCGCAACCCGCACCCGCACCCGCACCTCCCCTCTCGCTAAGTCGATATCGTATAATATTGACCTTCGCGCCCAGGCGGACCGGGCTGCGGAGGCACGAGAGCGGCGTCTCGTGGTGGGCCTTCCCCCCTTTGCTTCTCCGCAATCGACAGAGATCGGTGGGAAGCACGGGGACCACTGCTGAGCCCCGGCCCTGAACGTGCACCTTACGTGCACCCAGCGCCCAAGTCGATCGCTGATTCGCGCCGGACGAAGAAGGGTGGGCCGAGTTCAGTTAGCCCGTGTTTGACGCTCCTCGAGGCGCGTACTACGCTTCGGTACATCTCGGAACCCCTTCAGGCTTTCCAGGCGACGAAGACGCGCACGGTGCGGCTCAGCCTACGAGAGGCAGGATCGTCGCGCTCCCCCATTGGCGCCTGCAGGGTCGGTCGCGGTCGGCCCTCCTTCTCCTTCTCCTTTTCCTCCTTCTCCTTTTCCTTTTCCCCCGCGAGATCGGCGAGACCCTGGTCCTGGCCGGAGCGACGATCGTCGTCGCGTCCGCGAGCCACCTCCGATGGCGTGAAGCTGGGGCTGGCCAGGTGCACCTCGCCTGCGCGTGCCGCGCGGCCAGTAGGAGGAAGCGGCGGCGGCGGCGATGGTGGCGGCGGGGAAGTGGCGGCAGGACGCTGCCGGCGCTGGAACTCCTCCCACCTCTTGCAGGCCTTGTCGAACGCGCGGCGCTCTTGCGACCGCGGGCCGTCCCACGTGCGCCATCCGAGGCGATCTTCGATCGCCGTCCGCAGGCCGGTCGCGTCCTGCATGTCGCTATAGATGGTATGTTTTTTTTTTCGTAGCGGTAGGAACCGATCGAAAATAACATAAGAAGAAGGTCAAGGGAAAAAAAGGGGGGAGTATGTGTCGTCAGCATAGCCGTTTACTTTCGATCTGCCGGTGGCGCGGCAACGCGAGATGAGGAGGGCGACTCACAACTCGAACCAGCGGAGGAGAGCGTCGAACTCGCCGCGGGTTAATCGGCCTATGCGCGCGTGCTGCGGGTCTATGTTCGGATTTCTCTGCGCCCGCTGGGGCGGTGGTGGTGGTGGATGTGGTGGACGCGGTGGATGCGGTGAGGGTACTGCCGTTCCCCCTCCGCCGGGAACGCCCGTCGCCACCGACGTCTTCGCCCGCTGCCGCCGCTGATACGCCACGACCCAATCCCACATGCCTTCGGCACAGGCGAGCACCTCGGTCGAGCGCAGGTGGAGGTGTAGGTTGAGCGAGCGGAGGTCGATCTCGAGCCGCTTGTTCGGCAGGCGGTTCATCCGCCTCGTCTCGGCGAGGTGCGCACGTCCGTCCTCGTTGTCGTCCTCGTCCTCGTCGTTCGGGGGCGCGGGAAACCGGCGCGACGCGGGGAAGGACGCGTGCGCGGAGGGCGAGAACGCGGACGAGCGCGTCTCGTCGAGCGAGATGAACGTCGCGGCCGCGCGCCGGATCAGATCTTGCGCGTTGATCCGCGCCGGGGCCCGTGCGGGGAGGTGTGGGGAGCGCGGGGCGGACGACGACGGCGGCGGCGGGCGCGCTGGGTGCCGGTCACGGGTCGATGAGCGGCGCGGGCGGGGCGAACCGCCGTCGTCCGAGTCCGAGTCCGACTCGGACACGGGGCTGGAGGACCGCGCGTCGGTCGGGCGCGGCGGGAAGCGGAGCATGATGGGCGGGTGCGTGCGGACATCTGTGAACGGGCCGCCAAGTCAGCGAGCGGGGCGAGGCGAGGCGAGGCGAAATGATTTGAAAAAATTAAAAAACCGGGGGGCTGTAACCCGTGTATGTTTTTTCATTTACCTTTGAAGTACTCGGAGATGTGGTTCGCGAGCAGCGCGAGCGGCCGCAGGTTGACGAACCGGGCCGCGTGCATCTCGGCGTAGATGGTCGCCAGGAGGGCGTGGTCGCGCGGGTCGGGCGGCGGCGTCGAGGCCTCGGGACGAGCGTGCGACGACGATGATGACGACGACGCGGCTCGGTCCTCGTCGTGCTGGGTGGCAGAGCGAGTTCTCGGAGGGCCCCATGCCGTAAATTGGGACATGGATGGGGAGGGCCCGCGGGTGCTCGCGGCCGGCGTCTCGTACCGCGACGCTGGGAGCGAGCCGGCGGGCGTGCCGACCAGGGACCACGAGCTCGACGAGCTCGACGACCGCGCGCCCTCTTCCGAAGCCGACGCCGTCGAGGAAGGTGCCGGCGCCGCGGGCCGAGGAAGCGGCAACGGCGGCGGGGAAGGGGATGCGCTCCGGCTGCGGTTTTCCACCGGTGTGTCGGGCGGAGAGGGGTCTTGAGCGCCGGGGAAGTATAGGTCTTCTTCGATCATCTGCGGGGAGAGAGCGTGGATAAGCGACGACGACCGAGAAGGGGGCGAATGGAGGGCTGACCTCGAAGGCGGCGCCGGGTTTCATAACGCGTACGAGCTCCTGGTGGAAATCGATATACATATTGAGCGCCGGGGGCCTGCAGCGAGCTTGCAGAGATAGGAGACTACCTCGAAAAGCGCGTTCCACTGCGATATGACGAAGCGTCAGATGGTACAAGGATGCCCGACATCGAGTACGCGACTGTTACCTTGTCTTCCGGAACTCCGCGGGCGATACGTTTGATGTGACTATCAACGGCAATGTTAACCCCCGTGTCTTTCTGACGGCGAGATTTCGAACGGCGCAAAACGCGGGAAGGGGCCCACTTACACAAAGTCGAACTCGTCGTCCGGAAACGGTAGCGGTTCGAGGCTGAAACGGCGCACATATTAGCGCACAAACGTACAGCAGCCCCGATAAAACATATCCTTAGCTAAAAACTAGGGACTTACAAGTTGGCCTGCACCCACGTCACGCGCGACGCGAGGCCGACGTAGCCCGTCCGTTGAAGGTCCGCGTGGAGCGGGACGACGTCCAGGCCGACAAAGTGCGTTTTCTGAGGCATGAAGTTTTTTGATAAGAAAAGAAAACAAAAAAGGGGGAAAGAAAAGAATAGGAACGTGGGGGGTGAGTGCGGCGTTCAGCGGGCAGGGACGCTCGGAAACTCGCCTTCCAGACCTTGGCGCAATCTAGGATCCACGTGCCGGTACCTGCGGGACGAGGGAAACACAAAAAAAAGGTTTGGGAATGTCGATCAGACGGTCTTCCTTATTTTTTTATAAATAAAAATAGGGGGTCGTACCGCAACCGAGGTCCAGTCTATGTATGCGAGTCGGGTCAGGCGGCGGTGACAGCGGTGGGGAGGGATGGGGGGGTGTACGTACACTTTGCTAGGCGGCGTCTCGAAGACGTGCCAGGTCACGCTGCCGCACGCCTGCTGGCAGAACTTGGTCTCCCAGACGTCCCTACACACGCGTGTCGCCCGTCAGCTTCCTTCCTTCTTTCTTTAGTGTTTTTTTGGACGGCTCGCTCGATCAAGTGAGACATGTGGGACAATGCGGAATGAAGGAGCGATGGGGGAGTGAGGGGGACGAGAGAAGAGAGAAGGAAGCGAGGAGCGGAGGAGGAGGGAAAAGTACGCAACTGGTCGAGGTCGAGCCGGTCGTAGCTCCGCGGGTACGGCACGTCGCGCGGGGAGAAGCCGTGGTACCGCCGGCCGTTCTTCAGCGCGAACTGGGTCTCGCGCGCGCGGAGCGAGGCCTGGAGTTCGGCGAGGATCACGCGGTCGGCCGTCGGGAAGCGCGGCTCGTCGTCGTCGTCGTCTCCTTCTTTGTCGTCGTCGGTCGCTATTTTGGCGTGGAGGTTCGGTTCGATCGGCTGCTTCTCGGTCGGTGGGTCGCGGTGTCGCTGGTGGCGTTGTTGTTGTTGTTGGTGGTGGTGGTGATGAACCCGGTGTGAATCGGGAACGGCCGCGGGGTGGTCCTCCCGCGAGAGGGAGGGGATGTCGAGCTGGATGCGGACTTCGCGAGGCTTGTGAGGTGCGGCGGCCGGAGGAGAGGAGGATTTGTCGTCGGATGGCGCGGCGGCGGCGGCGGCACCGAGTCTGCTGGGTCTTTGGGACGCGCTGGGGTGGTGCTGGTGCCCGGACTTGCTGGAGCTGGCGGACCGTCTGAGGACGTTCGCGTGTGCGCGTGGTGGCCCGTCATGCGACGGGGGTCTGCCGCCTAGCGTCGAGCGGCGGCGTAGCAGATCGGATAGAGGCTACGAAAAGAAAAGAAAAAACGGAGAAAAGGTAGATGAGCAACACACGCGTTGTCTGAGGTGGGACACGACCGGGGGGGTGTGAGGGATCGCTGCTCTTACTTTTGCGGCGTTCTTGAGCGAGGCGGCGGACGCGTCCCATACGGAGCGGCTCTCGATCGCGCCGGACGAGGTGGAGGGGCGTTGCTGCACGCGCGGGCTGCGCAGTTTGGAGGGAGTGCGGCGCGGGGGGTCGGCTGCCGCGTTGGAGAGAGAGCGTAGGCGCGGGGCGGCGGAGAAGAAGGAGAGGCGGGGTGATCTGGGGGTTTCGGCGTTGGGGGAGGAGGGAGGGATCGTATGGGTTGGCATGGGCGCGGGGGCGGGAGGGGGAGCGGTAGAGAGGGAAGGGATGAGGCTGCGTCTGCGGCGGAGGATGCGGGGGGAGGAGGGGGGAGGAGACGAGGGGGACGAGGGGGCGGGGGGGAGGCCGTCTTGCTCTGGGATCCCTTTCAGGACGCTGGTGGAGGGGGCAGGGACGGACGTGGGGAGGTGGGGGGTGGAGAGCGAGCGCGGACGAGCATGATGACGCTGTGCGGGGTCGCGAACGAGCATCCCTCCGACGGCCGACGCGTTCTTGAGACAAGCGGTGTGTCAGTGTCGATATCAGACCTAGGGTCCCGCCCGGCTGCGGTGAGAGCGGCGCGCGGTCGAATCACGCGACGAAAGCTCTCCCGCGCGCGGTGTTTTGGGTCGGCGTCGACGAGGGCGGGGCACGGCGGGGGTGACCGGAACCGTAGCTGGGCAAGGCGCAGGGCCGTGGGCACGGTCCATCGTCGGGCGATGCGAAGGTCGTGCGGTCGGTCGGTCGGTCGGTCGGTCGGTCGGGTCGGCGACTGCCGCGGTCGCGCTTGCTGGGTGTGGAAGCGCGTGCGGGGTAAATGACGGTATACGTAAGGGACCATCAAAAGAATCCGCCGTTCTCATCACGGTGGCGGCGCTGAGTATCCTCCTGGCTTTGCCGTCGCCACGGTGGTCGCCGTTTTGACTCGTCTGACTCGTCGCCGTCGCCGTTCTCCTCTCGAGCCTCAGGCTGCTACCTGCTTTCTGCAATAAGATTACCGAGGCCAACGGCGGCAAACGATGCCGACCGAAATAGCCCGATCTTTGTCTGATCTTCTGCTCTCGTGACCATGCCCCAGCTGAGCTCGGTCATCGACTACCAATACCGTCCCAACATCCCATGTGAACGGGCCATCCTGGACAACCCTAAAAACTACCTCCGCACTCGCTACCAGAAGCGCCGTGCCGAAGTCTGTGGCGTCAGTCTAGGCTGCGCTGGCGACGCTGGTTGGGGGCTTCCTCGCTGCCGGACAGAGGGATGGCAACACCCCCTCTACGCCCGCGCCTGCGCAGGGCTTTTGTTTTTGTTTTTGGCAGGACTGAATGGTGCGCACAGGGTTGTGTGTACCCTTGACTCTCCGCCGGAGCGCGGTTGAACTTCGGCGTCGCGGGCCCTGGCCCGGAACCCTGTCCTGTGGCTTCGGCAGATTGAATGGGTAGAAGAAGCTACATACGCTGGGGGCTGGACATGGCAAAGTGTGTGCACATCGCGCAGGTGGACGTCGGGCGGGACGATGGCGCTCGTCAGTGCCCGGATGATATCTAGTCCCGAAGCGCGACGTTCCTCTGCGAACCTGGAAGACGAGAGATCGCACCAACGCTTCATTCGGATGTTGCTGCTGCGCCATGTGCGTGTAGGGGTCGGACGAGCGTTGACAAGCTGGTGCCCAATTCAGAAGATCGTTCTTCGGGGTTCGGTTCGGATTGCGACGTGAACCGTTGGAAACACTGGCCATACCCGGGCCGGAACGAAGGGGCGTTCGGAACTCCTGATGCGCGGCCAAATTCAAATTCTTTAGGACTTCGGAACTTTGTGCGAAATGGGCGTCCCCCCTTCCTTTCTTCGGACTCGTGGCAATGAGTTGCGCGTTGCCAGCAGATCTGAGTAAGAGGCCTGACTTGCTCTCGATCGTGGGGTAGGATGCACTCGCCATCTCGAACGCTCGCCTCGTGCCGGCTCACCGTTACTGCCGTTTGCAAAACAGATGGCGCGTCGTGACTTCCGCGTGTTACTTGACCTCCGACTGCCACGCAGAGCATATCGGCTGTAGCTCGACAACGGCGACGAATTTCACCATGACTTCTGAGACAAAATTGTAGCACTCGTTGACCTGCAGGTGCAAGGATGTATACCTAACCATTTCTGATAAGTCAAACAGTTCGTGTGCCATGAAAGGGTTCCCAGATCTCTATCACTCGCTGTTTGGTCATATAGAGTTCTTCCGTGCCCCAGTTGGTTCAGGAAGTTACTTATTGTGTACTGTAATTTTACGACCTTAGGTTCGGTCCGCCCCCGGGGGGACAGGGGACAGCTGCAAGTTCGGGCCCGTGGGAAGTTCGCAAACTGACTGTAGTCAGTGTGCAATATTCTCACAGTAGGAAATAAAATTCCCACGGTCAGTTCAAGGCCTGGATATTGGTGGCGGGACAGGGGACAACACGGGAAATTAGGTTCAGTTCAGGTTGCCAGGGGACAGGGGACGAACCTAAGGTCGTAAAATTACAGTATATTGAGATGCATGTCATACTTCCATCAACAGATGGCCAGGAAATTTGCAACAGAAACGAGTGGAAGGATACACAGTAGAGGACTAGGTACTGTATCATCATCCACTGCCCCCTGTGTTACTCTCCACCTTCAAAAACCACACATGCACACTCAGGAGGTCTCCTTAAAGCCTTTTTCATAAGGACATGAGTCCATGCCCTCAATGCTTGAGTCACCGTGAACGATATCCTGTCCTGGTTAGTGATAGAGCACGACAGCGGGTTCACTCGCGAGCTCCGCCTCAAAAATGTGCTATGCACCTGCATATTGACAATGGCTACATACTTGTCTCAGGGATCATGGTTAGATTCGTCGCCGTCAGCGAACTACAGCTGATATGCCCCGCACAACTGCGGGAGGTCAAACGACGCGCGAAAGTCACGACGCGCTATCTGTTTTGCAAACGGCAGTAACCTTACCTTGCGGACACCTATTGACAAGAGCAGGAGCGTCGCCCGGATATACATTACTGCTGACGATGACGATCAATCGGCCTAGGAACCCAACGTTTTGCTGTACACCAATTCGCAGAATTGATTATCCCCCTGCGGCTGAACACCGATACCGCTACACGATCGTTCTTCTGGCTTGAAGCGAAAGCGGAGGACGTCTTCTACCACGATCATGGCCATTACGTACACGTCGCACAATAAGAACGGGCTTCGTCCAAATGTGAACTCGTCCGGTGGGCAGAGGGCACAGGAAGTCATGGCGGGTCTCGTTAGTGACTACATGGGCGCTTCCTGCGCAAACCCCGCCTCGTCAACCATAACTATTGCCGCGTTCCAGCTGTCTGTACGAGCGCTTTTCTCAAGAATAAGAACAAGGACAAAGATCTTGTCGCGACGAGCGACGACTGAAGAAGAAAAGGGTGGTTATATACCCTCCGGCTGCACCTGACCGTCTCAGTCACCATCTACTATTGATGGTCACACCCAATTACGGATTTACGGTATGCACGGCAGACCTTCTCTGCTCCAGACGAGCAACTGAGCTGTGTTGCTCGTAGGAGGGTGATCCGGACGACGGGGAACACGATGCACAACCCGTACTCGCACATACAGAGTCTGCAGTATGGACTGGAAAGGCTGAGGGAAGGCGAGAAGGTCCAAGATCGAGGTTTGTTGTAGCTTCGGAATAGCGCAACATACGCGCGCATGCACATGGTGTGTTAATAAGTACAGCCTTTCTGCTATAATGGTAGTTGCAGCGAGCGACTTGGCATGTACTCAGAACGAAATAACGTTCATATCGGAATCGCTTTCCCGCCACCATGCGCCACCTTATCTGCGTGCACATGCGCAGAGCCGTGCGCAGTACCGCCGTGACTGCGCGGGTGAGTGCTAGGATGCTGTTCAGAGTGAAGCTTGAAGCCATCGACGACGACGACGACCTCTGGCGATCATGAACGTTGCCGTTCCTGAAAAGACCTTGCAAGGCGATGGCCTGCTGCTCCCGGGCGCGTTCGACCGTCCGAGACGCCGCTTCTTGATCTCACGACACTTCGTCGGGCTCGCGCTCCTGGTGTCGCTCGTGCTGTGGACGAAGAGCGTGGATCTGAACCAGGGCTCGACCTCGAGTGCGGTCCCTGCGCGTTCGGTATGCTCGAAGGATGGCCTGCAAGTCGCCGAGTTTGACTGGGATGCGGTGAGTTCGCGATAGGGCCCCTCTTGAGTTGAAATCAGGACGCGCTGGTCTTACGAACGATGGCGTCGTAGGTCGTCCCGAGCGAGAAGCTAGTCTGGCACGCCTGCGAGGATAAGTTCGAATGCGCCCGACTCTCCGTAAGCCCCCCTCCTCCACACGTATCTGCGGGCACGACTCATCCTGACGTTACGATCGTAGGTGCCGCTCGACTACTCGAACCCGGAGGGAAAAAAGGCTGCGGTCGCGCTCATGAAGATCCCGTCTAAGATCGCGCCTGACGAGGAGGGCTATCGCGGGCCAGTTCTGTTCAACCCAGGTGCGTCCCACCACGCATGCAAATCAGTGCAGGCCGTGAAGCTGACCCCCTTCGACTCCCTTCTCAGGTGGTCCAGGCGGTTCTGGCGTGGACCTGATCAAACGCGCCGGCGAACAGTTCCAGCAAATCCTTGGAGGTACGTGTACCGTCCGGAGCCCGAATTCTCACCCGACGCTCACCTTGCCTGCAGACGACTACGACCTCATCGGGTTCGATCCGCGAGGTGGGTACCTACCCTTTGAGCATCTTTCGCCAACCACGTGAATGACGCGTCGCAGGTATCGGGCGCACTACGCCCGGCATCGTCGTCTTCGATGACGAGGGCGCCAGCGTCGCCTGGCAGCTCACACACGGACCGGTTCTGAACGCCACCGACGAGGCACTCGCACGCGCCTATGCCCGCGCCCAGGTCTTTGGCAGCCTCGCGGCGGAACGCGTCGGCGAGGCTGCGCAGTACGTGAGCACGCCCATGGTTGCGCGCGACATGCTCAGCATCACCCGGGCGCACGGGCGGGAGAAGCTGCTCTACTGGGGATTCAGGTCCGTCACACAGCACGCAATCGAAGGAATCTGGGCTGACCCGTGTTGTGGTGTTAGTTATGGAACCATCTTAGGCATTACGTGTGTCCTGTCCTGCCACTTCTGAGATTGCGGATGCTGATAACCCGACCGCAAGCTATGCGTCCATGTTCCCCGTACGCTGGCGCGAATATGAGTGGTGGTCGAGTAACGTTCTCATCCGATTGAATGCACTCAGGACAATATCGACCGTTTGATTGTAGATGGTAAAGGGGCAAAGTCAGGTGTCATGTGAATCGCTCTCACCTTCTAGCAGGCGTAGTCGACAGCGAAAACTACATGAAAAGTACGCATTCCATACTCGTCCGAATCGTCATGCGAGGCTGATTAGACCCCCCCCAGCGCTTTGGTCCAACAACCTCCGCGACACCGACAAGGTCAAAACGACTGCAATCTCCCTCCTGCATTTCATGCTGATCCCACGTCCTTGAAGGTGCTCGACCAGTTCTATACCGCCTGCGCCAACAGCACGTCCTGCGCCCTGCACGAACCGACCCCCTCCGCCATTCAATCGCGCGTAGACGTGCTGTTTGCCAAGCTCAAGCGGAACCCGATTCCCGTCTCCCTCAACGGCACCAACTACGGCCTCGTCGACTACACCCTCGCGCGCCAGGTCGTCTTCATCTGGCTCTACAAGCCTTACCAGAAGTCTCCCCTCAGCGCTTCTTCCCTCGCCTCTGCGCTGGAAGCGCTCGAGCGCGGCGATGGCGCGGCGATGTGGGCCGCGCATGCGCCCGAGCCCACGATCAAGTGCGATTGCGCGCGCGACGGTCCGGCGAAGCTGCCTGCTGCGAACCGGGAGACGACGCTCGCGATCGCGTGCGGCGACGGAGAGCCGGTGGAACACGACCTCGAGGAGCTACGGGCGTTCTACGACGACATGGCGCGCGACTCCGACTTCGCCGAGATCTGGTCTGCCCATCTGGATTGCGCGTGCGTATTCTCTTTGGTCTTGTTCTCTGGCGCCGACGATCCCCATCGCTGTCTCTCGTTGGGCTATATAGGGGATGGAAGATACGGTCAAAGGAGCAGTTCCATGGTGAGTTCGGTACTGGAATGTAGCCCATTGGATGGATCCTCGACGATGCGGACCAGGACCTTTCGCCGGCAACACCAGCTACCCGATCCTTCTCATTGGCAACACCGCCGACCCCGTCACGCCTCTTTGGAAGTGCGTTTTCTTGTCGTCCATCGTTGTGTAGCACAAGTATTGACAGGAAGTCGTAGCGCTCACAAGATGGCGAAGGGCTTCCCAGATGCCGCCGTTCTGACGCAGAACTCTGCTGGCGTAGGTTTCCGGTCGACCTCCGGCAGGTGTCCAGGCTGATCTCGCCCCCCCTCGATTAGCATTGCTCCCTCGCGGGCGCGTCTCTGTGCACGGCGAAGTACGTGCGGGACTACTTCCGCGAGGGGAAGTTGCCGCCTGCGGGGGCCGTGTGCGAGATTGAGGATGAGCTGTTCCCATCCTCGGACGTCAAGCAGGCAGGAGATATGCTTAACCACGACGACAGGGTGTTGCTCGATGCTGCGAGGGAGCTTAGCGACAAGTTCGAGGTACCTCGTCTGCATTGACGGGTTTTCTTTGCGTATACCCTGCGGCCTAACAAGGATGTAGAGTACTTGAGGTGGAACGCGACTACGGCTATCTTGTGCCTATATTCCACATATACATTGGTGATATTGCCCGAGTATAAAACCCAATGCCTGAGCAGGCGATACGATATCTATTATCTCCTCCGAGGAATTGAGATGCCTGAAGGCGCCGTGACGAGTTGAGTTAGCGTGAGGCCGGTGGTTTGTGCGGGAAAGGTTGCTCCGTACGCGCGGATGCACCTCGTCCTCTTCTTCCGCGTCCACATACACATCGTCCCGACGCCGCACGCGATCAGCGTCCCGCGTCGGTACGATGTGTATATCCGCCCTTCCGCGTCTTCCACCCTCGAAAACGTATAAAAACCCAGCATCCTGCTCGTACTGACCTCCAGCATTCTGGACTTGACCTTCGCATCTCCTTCGATTCCTTACACGCACTTGGCACATCTTCAGGCTAACAGTCATCTATAAACTTATCTATCGTCTAGAATGCTCTCCACGCTCTTCGTCGTCGACCTGCGCAGCCAGAAGGAGGCCAGGGCCGTCGACTCGCGCGCTCCTAAGCTCAACCGCTTCAGGCTTAGGATGCCGACGCTTCCGAAGCTCCCGTCGTCTGCAAGGGGGCTGAGGAGATTGGCGATGAAATTGCGGGGTTCTCGTACGTTCATCTTCGCGTCTTCGCTTTCTTTATCGGCACGCAGGCTGACGCGAGTTGGCAGGTTCAGATGAGGTATTCGACGTCAAGGAGGTGGTGCTCGCTCAGCTACACGGCCTCATCGATTCCGGAGTCTACGTGGACCTTTACGAGGTTGCCCATTACTACGCGGGAATATGCGGGGTACGTCCGCCCGCGTTCCGATCCCTTTCGTACACCGACCGAACCCCACAGGTCGAGTACTATTACCTTGTGATCGAAGAACTGACGAAGGCCGGGTTCTTCTGAGGCCGGGTTCGTGGGGCCTCGGGCTTGCCGCCCGGTGGCCTCTGGGACTAGAGCGCGAGTCCTACAGGCACGGTGTGCCTCCATGCGCTCGAAGGGATCGACGTTGTCATTGGCGTTGGCCCTGGAGGAGGTGTGACCATCCCCGATGTTGTTCCCGCACCCAAAAGCACGGAAGACGCCGCCGGATTTGAGGCCCGAGTTTTCGACCCTTATGGACCTCGTCACGGCGGCGGACGCGGAAGGGAAGGACGCCGGCGATGCCTTGGAGCGTCGTCGTGCGTTCCTTGCCAGATGCCCCGTTTGCACGGGCGGGGGCCTTCGGAGTCGAAGAGGAGGGACATGGTTGCTGCTCGCGGTGTCTAGGTCGAGAGCGGGACGCCGCGATTGGCCGGGCGCTCGACGGCATCTCATTTCCACGCGCGACGTCGGTGCGCCAGCATGCAGTACGGGACGTTCGGTACGTTCCTTCTCCCACTCATCCTCACCTATCACGCATCTGACACCTTGTTGCAGGCCGAGTACGGGACGCCGGGCTCGACGGATATCCGCGTCTGTGCATACCTCAAGAAAATCGAAAAAAAAAACGGAAAAGTCAAAATCGAAAAAAGAGGCTGGACGGATTGGGATCGGGATTGGAATCGGCTTTGATAGTTTTAGATAGTTAGATAGATGGTTACGGCGCACGGACATTGATTTACCAGCTAACCTTCTGACGCTCTTTTCTACTTCTTAGCTTTCAGCTGCCCTCGTCGTCTGGTCCCCCTGGTCGCTGGTCTCCTGGTCCCCTGGTCCCCTGGTCCCCTGGTCGCTGGTCCCCTGGTCCCCCTGGTCGCTGGTCCTCAAGTTCAAGGTCTCCCAGAATAGGATTGCCAGCGTGTAGCGCTGGCGATCCGGCAGCCGGCCTCTTCGTGGCCTGGGGGATTAGTACCCTTCGGGGGAAGCCAACGGCTGTTTTGGACCTTCAAATATCGAAGACGCTCGCGATAGTGAGTCTTTGTCATTGTTTCGTCTCTGAGTCTGAAGTTTTGCACGACAGGTACCGCTTCTGTTCCGCCTTTTTCGGATGCATCGAAGGGCAATCAATGCGAGTGAGTACTAAAAGTTTTCACGAGCCCCACATAGACTTCACGATGTCGTAGGGACCATTCCAGGACTCGGTTGACCGAGGGTCAGTTCCCGAATTCGTCTCTCAGGCATGTTTCGATCCACGAGAACGGTCCGTGGAATCGATTACCGAAAAATGCGACGACGGAGCTACAGCAGTCCGCCTATGTATTCCTATGTATTGGGCTCACGCAGTCGGGATGAATAGGATGGCGTCGAATGTGCTGGAACGCAGTGCCAAGGTCGTGAGTTTACGGTACCAGTGATACAATGGCTAAGAACGATGTATACGAGGATTTTTGGTGTAACTATTCGTTCTTGCTACCCTGTTACATCCGCCGGTGTGAGAAATCACGGCTTGTCCCACACACGATCCCGAAAGCTATACTTTAGCATGTGGCCTTCCATGAGGTGATGAGCCAAAGCCGTCGTGAGGCTTGTACACGACACTTAGTCTGCAATGACCGCCAGATAGACGATAGTCGATCATGGCATGATATACCCACTCGAGACTCGATTACATTCAATTGACACAGCAGTACATCGCTTCTTTGCTTTCGGACTTCCGACAATTCAATGCTCGCCGACAAACTCGTCGAACCAGCGGAAGACCTCGTAGTGCCATTTCAGGCTGTTTCCGTGGTTGAGGACCCAGTGATTCTCATCGGGGAAGATCACGAGGCGGCTCGGGATGCCCTTCCTGCATGCGAGCGTCGCGTGGTCAGCGAATTGAATGACAGAACACGAGCGACGTGGGACGTACTGCTGTAGGGCGTGGAAGGCGCCGATGCTCTCCGTCTCCGGGAGACGGTAGTCCTTGCTTCCGTGGATGAGCAGCTGCGGCGTGGACCTAGAACGTCGGCGTCAATGCCGTCGTGAGCCAAATCTTCCCCTCCGCGACCGACAGGGATGCATCATGCTCTCACCAGTTGGCGACGAAGTTCGAAGGGGAGTACTTCTCAGACAGCGCCTTGCTCTTGGCCTGCCACGGGGCTCCTCCCCACTCGTGATTGAACTGCGGATGCACGGCAGGTGAGAAAGGCAAAAGGTTGATCCCGGCGCCGGGAAAATCACGTACGAAGAAGAGCTCATCCGTCGAGTATCCATTGTAGTTCGCGTCGAACACCTGAGAAGCACCGGGGACAGCGTGAGCAAATCGGATCGGAACGCCGGGAGCATCTTCCGTTGGCTTACCCCGTCGTGACCCACGAGAGCCTGCAAGCAATAGTCATCTCAACCGGTGCCGATACCAGAACTCCGCCAAGAACGAACCTTGAAACCAAAACCGTATTCCGGATGACCCTGGATCCAGCTGCAGAACGGAACGTAAGAATAGAGCCCGGGGACGGAAAGGGACCCGAGCTTCCACTGACTTGATCGCGTAACCGCCCCAGCTGGCACCGGCAGCAACGGCCCTGTCGGAGTCGATCTCGGGGTACTTGTCTAGGACGTGCTTCCAGCCCTTGATCATGTCCACGAACGGTTTCCCTCCCCAATCCTCGGCGATGGCATCAGTGAACTCTGTTGGGTCGAGTTTGCCTTAGACTCCTCCGATCACTGACCGTAGCAGGTAACGCTCACCTTGTCCAAAAGTCGTAGACCCTGTCGGGTTCAGGGCCACGGTGAAATAGCCTTGCTGCGCAAACACTAAGCACAATCGTTGGTAAGCTGGTCAGCGAGGGTCCAATAACCTCTCAATGGTCTCACCCTGAGGATTCCATCTGGTCGACCACTGGTCCTCCCAAGCGCCCTGCGGTCCACCGTGTATCAACAGCACGGCCGGCCACTTCTTCTTCTCGCCCTCCTTCCACCCCTTGGGCTTGATTGCCCATCCTTGCACCTTCCGGCCGCCCGCGCCCTCGAACCACACCTCCTCGCCGTCCGGCAGCTCCTTCGCCTTCAGCGCCTCTTCCGTGAACTTCGTCACCTGCTCGATCTTGGGGTCCGTCGAGCCGCCCTCCTTGTCCAAGCCGCGGATGATGTAGACGTCGTTCGGCTTGGTCAGGGACGACGCGGTAAAGACGAGTCGGCCGTTGGGCAAGGCGCGCACGCCGGACGCGGCGCCCTTGGAGGTGAGCGCCTTCGGGGTATAGTCGGCGGAGAACTTGGGGTGCGTGGTGGAATGCGACGGCGTGGGCGGGAGGAGGACGTTGAAGACCTTGATCTTGGCCTCGTCGCCGGCGGTGAAGAAGAGCGACTTGCCGTCGGTGGCGAACTGACACAGAAACGGGAATCAGCTGTGAGCCTGTGACTCTACCGCTTTGGGGGCGAATGGCGAACGTACTGTGATGGCGTCGGGAGAGCGGTCCCAGTCCTGGGTGAGCGTGTAGCGAACATCAGTCACCAGATCGTAGATTACAATCTTCGCCCTGAGCGTCACAGGCAGTCAGTTTGATTCCGAAACGCAGCGTGGATGTACTCGAACATCACCTGTCGGACTCGTAGCCGTCCTCGTCCAGTTCCAGCCAGGCGACCTTGTCACCCTTGGGGCTGAATACCGGCGAATGAGTGGCGCCTTGCTTTCCGGAGGTCAATTCTACCGGTTTTGAGCCACCCTTCGCATTGACGATGTAGATCTACGAAAAGCGCAGATCGTGTTAGTACTTTGATCGTCAAACGTATGGATTTATGCGCCAGCACAGACATTTTGCTTGGTATGGGCCGCAGGGAGCAGCTCGGGGTCCTTGGCAGTGTACACGATGCGGCCTCCCGAGACGTCAAAGTCGTCAGTGCCGCCGAACGGCTCGACAGGAGATGACTATTCGATCATTGTCATCACTAGCACAGTGTTCATCGTGGATCAAAGCTCACATGGCCAGTGCCGTTGAGGGGAGCATAGAACTCGGTGCCGAGGTGCCACTTGCGGCCAAAGTCCTGCTGCAAGCTGACTGCGAAGAGCTGTTGCATCTTGGGTCCGCGCCAGGTGTCCCAATGGCGGACGAACGTGTCGTCGTAGACCTGCAAAGATGTTATTAGCCTCCGAGGTGCGCATGTATGCGTGATCGGCGTACGTACCCAGGCCGTGTTACCGCGGTTCCCCCACTCCTCGTCCTGCTGCTTGACGGTCTTCAAATCTCCGTCGGGGTACACGTACTCCGAGAACACGAGCAGTCCGGACGCGGCGTCGAAGCGGAAGTTACCCGCGCCCTTCGTCGGGAACGAGCCCACGAGGACGGGCGACTCCGGCGCAACCGCGAGCTCCGCCTGAGCGTCCTCAGCGGTAAACTTGACTGAGATTGCGTACAGCTCCTGCACGTCCTTCTCCTCGCTCGCGACGACGTGCCCGACCGTGCGCGAGTCGAGCCAGAACGCGTCGCCGCCGGTCGTAAGCGGGATCTCGAGAGGCTGGACGGTCGACTCGAGGGGTGCGATGAAGATCGACTTGTTGTTCCTGTGATAATTGATCACGGCGTCAGCTTCGCGCTACGGCTTGTAACTGTGTTCAGACTGACTTTTTGGCCTTAAACGAATACTTGCTCGACGACACGAGGACGAGGTCACCCGGCGCGTTTGGTATGCCGGTTCCTGGCCTTGCGAGCTCCACCAGGTCCTTCGGCGCAAAGACGTCGTTGCCCTCTTTGAACTTGAAGTCATGGTTTAGGGGCCTGCGAGCGGCGGCACCAGCGGGCGGCATGTTCGTCGCCGTCGTCAGTGAAGAGTTGCTATCGAGCGGAACTTGTGCCGCGAGACCCAGAAGCGAGAGAGCAGACCAGAGCATGGTGCTGGTCCAAGTTTACCTTACGTGGGTGCTCTCGCCATCTGCGCAGCCCTGGGTCCATATGAACGAACGCGACCACGCGAAACAACGTCAGGACCATGTGATCGAGCGTGCTCATCGACCAATACGTGCCAACGGCATAACTATAGTCCCCCGTCTCACTGGTGGGTACGTACTCTCCATGCGCACGAGAGTATCGAAGGCAACGAAGGGGTGGAGAACACGAAGTCGACGGACCAAGATTACACGTAGTGAAGACAAGAATTGAACACAACATGGGAGGTAGCACGATCACGAGCAGCGCAAGACAGAACACGGCCCGGCCTACGAGCTCATCTCCTCGTCCTCGTCAACGTCCTCACCACCCTCCTTCTCTTCCACCGCAATCTCATCGCCCTCTACCGTCGTCACCTCCCCCGTCTCCGCGCTCCAATACGCCCTCAACCCGACCTTGAACTCGACCATCTTCTCTCCGACGAGCTTCAGCAGCTGCGCCTGCTCCGGCGTGAGCACCTTGCCCTTCGTGCACACCGTGTGCGGGTTGTCGAGGCTCGGCACGCCGCGTTTCATGACCGTGTGCAGCCCGAGCTTGCGCAGCTGCGGCTCCTCGTTGTGCGGGAACGGCTCGGGCGGGTCCGAGTGGTGTTGCATGATCGGGCCCTCGGGGAGGACGACGGTGCGCGTGGCGACGTTGCCGGAGCGAGCAAAGTCGGGAGGGTGGAAGTCGCCGAACCACTCCGTCACTTCCGCGGGCTCGGAGTCGGTGAAGAAGAGGCCGACTTGTCCTTTTATCCTCTGTTCGCGGAAAACGTCAGGAACGAGAACGGACGGGGCGAGGATGACGGGAAAAGGTGGGAAAGAGACGCACGGATGCCAGATGGTGTAGTCCAGTTTTATGTTCTGATTCTGGTGTTGTGCCTAGGGCGATGGCCATGACGGCACCTCTTCCAAAGAATAACCTTCCCGTACTTCATCGATTTGTCAGCATCACATCGACTACAGTAGACGAAGAGAGAAAACGCACTCCTTCCATAGTTTCCGTACGGTTTTCAAATGCGCATTGCGCATGTTGCCCACATCAAACAGCCAGCAGTATTTCCACTTATCCACCGCCCCTTGCACCTAAAACGACGCTAAGCTTGAGCCTCGATCGTCCAGAAGGAAGGCCCTTACCGTACCTCGGCTACGAGCGCATTCTTGTGGTCTCTATTCTTCTTGTCGACCTTTGAGAGGGTAACTGACGATATCACCAGTTCAGATCTTCTTCCATGCCGTAGCTATGAGATTACGGGGACACACCGACTTTGTTGCGCTTCGACTTCGGCATGTTTACGACCCCGAGAAAACCTGGAGGAGGGAGGAGGAGGAAAAGTATTTGGCGCACGTGCCCATGCATCTCCAGATCTTTAGCACAGCCACCACAATTGATCTCTTGCGCCCCTGACTTGGTTTCCGCTCATCTCTCTTGTCCTCGGTTTTATCTGATAGGATAATTTTTTTCGACGCGATGGCCTCGGACATATCACTATCTACATTGGAAGCTCTTGAGGCCACGTTATTGAATAGGTCGGGGAACGTGCCGCTACACAACCGCTTCCGCGCGCTGTTCACGCTCAAGTCGCTGAAGACGGACCAGGCGGTGGAGATCATCGGCAAGGGTACGTGCATTCTGTGTTGCACCTTCGGCACCTTCTTCCAGGAGTGCTCAAATGAAGGATCTGTTTGTAGGGTTCTCGGATGAGAGCGCGCTGTTGAAGCACGAGCTCGCCTACTGCCTGGGCCAAACCAAAAACCTGACGGCCGTGCCGACACTCGAATCCGTCCTCGCGAACGAATCGGAGGATCCGATGGTTAGACATGAGGCATGTCTTCCCTATTGCGCTCTAGATCCTATGGTTTCTTATATGTCGTAAATTGACTGGGGTGTGTATGACGCTCGTTCAGGCAGCAGAAGCCCTCGGTGCCATCGCCTCCACCTCCTCCGTCCCCATCCTCTCCAAATACCTCTCCGACTCCCAACGTACCGTACGTGAAACGTGCGAGATCGCCCTCGCGCGCATCGAATGGGAACACTCCGACGAAGGCCGCGCGCACGCCGAAGCGTCAAAAGCCGCCGAGCAGGCTGCGTGCGTCTTTCTCATCCCTTTCCTTACAGTGTACTGCCAAGCTGACCACCTTGCACAGAACATATACATCCATCGACCCCGCCCCGCCCACCTCCAAACTTCTCTCTGGCGCGCCCAAACCCGAAGACGCATCAGAAGAGACCATAGCGTCCCTACGGACGACCCTGCTCGACGCCTCCGTGCCCCTCTTCGAGCGCTACCGCGCCATGTTCGCCTTGCGCAACATCGGCACCCCCGCCGCCGTCGACGCGCTCGCCGCCGGCTTCTCCGACGACAGCGCACTCTTCAAGTAAGCATACCCTTCTCTTAACCCGCTTCGTCTTGGATCATCGTGCCGACGGATGCAAATACGATTGGGATTAGACACGAAATCGCGTTCGTGTTTGGCCAACTGCTCTCGACGCACTCCGTCCCGGCGCTACTGAAGGTGCTCGAGGACCAGCACGAGTCGGAGATGGTCCGGCACGAGGCCGCCGAGGCGCTCGGCGGCATCGCGACGCCCGAGGTGCTCCCGCACCTGAAGGACTGGATGAACCGCGAGGACGCGCCGCGCGTGGTGAGGGAGAGCTGTCAGGTCGCGATCGATATGTGGGAGGTGAGCTTTTTTTGTATAAGAAGACTCTCGTCGTAACTGATACGCTCATTGTTGACAGTACGAAAATTCGGATCAGTTCCAGTATGCGAACGGACTCGAAGGGAGTGTCGCACCAGTCGGTGCTTAGAACATATGCGGCATATGGGCATCTATGTCTATAACGCCCGGCATCACATTTCTACGCGTTATCACTCATTCGCTTTCATGGAAAGTGAAATCTAGGGTTAATTGCATGGTATTGCACAATGGCGTTGTGTTCTTTCTGTTCCTCTTCTGTTCGGCGCCGGCACCTCAAGAGTTCGGGTGCACACTCGTTTCCTCGACATTATCGACGTCAAGGCGTTTTGCCCGGCCAAGGCCTTCCGTCTCCGCGATGCGTTGCTCGATCTCCGCCTCTTGTCCACCATCGATTTCGTATGCGCCCTCCTGCACAACGGGTTGCCTACGTTCTGACCCCTTGACATTGGAGGGGAGGTTCTGTGATATCGCGTTGAGTATAAACTTGTGAATCTACATGTGTGTGAACATACCTGCGGTGGGTTGCGCGCGTACTCGTCGTTGATATCGTGGTCCGTCACGTCAGGCCGACCAATGGTCTGCTCCGGCTTCTTGAATGTGCGGCTCTCATCGGTGATGTAGTCGTTGCGGGTGCGCTCTTGGTTTAGAGAAGCCATTGTGATATGTTACGAGAGCGAGTACTGGAGTGTTGTATGTGTGCAGCGGTTTGGTGAGTGTTTGTTACTTTACGACCTCAATGGCCTTCAGGTCTTTATATCACTGGCCATAGGCAAGGTTTGCGTCATGCTTGGTGTCATTGGAGCGTTGGAGAGAGGATCGAAACAAAGAGAGATGCAAGCGCCAAGCGCCACCCACAATCGTGCGAAGGACGCGTCGGCTCCAGCCGGGCACATCGACCGCGTCGTCTTTGACTGTGCTGTCTGCGTCGCGTTCGACGATGGCGGGCATGAGGGTACAGGGCATATACGTCTGTGTACCACATGCCTATATCTCTGACTTGGCTTGAGCCGAAACAACCTATATCACTTCTCGTCTATGGTGTCTATGCGCTGCGAGTCCAATCTGCTGTTCTCCGGTGTCGAAATCCCGCGGAAGCAAATCTCTCGGCGCGAAACAACAGCACCGGGTGTGGATGCGAGCCTTCCACTTACCCGAAACGACATTGCCTATGTTTGGGACAGCTTTTTCCGAGTTCCAGCTTTGCGGGATGCCTGCGCCTTTCAACCGAGTTGACCCACTGTACTCATGCTGTCGGCTCATGAGATAACCTTCCGGATTTTCCGACCTCGGCCTCCATCACCGCGCGATAATCGGTCGTAGTCGTACAGACGGATGTAAATCGTCGCCATCCTCCTGCTCCGGTATCGTCCGGTCTCAATCCCACCTCTCATCGTCCACCTGCTGACGTGTTACTGTGGGCTCTCCTTGGTCAGCGCAACATCCAGACCTCGGTTGGATGGTCGGAAGAGCAATGCGCGACACCAATATATATATCCCTGCCACTCTGACTGCGCAACCATTATCAACTGTTCAGACCTGGCATGACCTCAGCAACGCAGGAGGCTCTCTTCCTCACTTCCAAGGGCGGCGAGTTCGCGGTGCGGAGCACATCGGTTTATTCTCCCGGAGTTGATCAGGTCCTCGCCAGGGTGAATGCGACGGGCCTGAACCCGGTCGAGTGGAAGATCAAGGATCACCTGCACGATTGGCCCAGGGTCGTGTATCCCGCGATCTTGGGCACCGATGGCGCTGGCGTGGTCGATGAAGTAAGTAGGCGAAGGCGTCACCAGCCTCAAGAAGGGCGATCGGATGTGCGTGCGCTCTCTGCCCCACAGCCATCGTGATCGAGCGAGAGAGACCGGGCGTGTCCCACTGACATCTGTGCCGCAGCGTGTGGGAGGGATTGTACACAAATGAGCTAGCGACCTACCAGCAATACGCGCTCGTCTTCGCCGACCTGGCGTCCAAGATTCCCGATAATGTTACGGAAGATGAAGCGGCGTCCTTGCCGATGACCATCGCCACCGCGTGCCTCGGAATGTACAACAAGAACAAGGACGGCCAGCACGGCGGCGGAGCGGAGCGGACACCGTTCTGGAAGTCGTCCACCCGCTACGCCGGCCAGCCGTTCATAGTCCTAGGAGGGGCCACCTCGATCGGCCAGTTCGGTAAGCATATATAAATATATATATACATATCTAAGCGTTCATTCCGAGAGTCGATGTCCTAACCCAAGACTTTAGCCATCCAGTTTGCCCGACTGTCTAGTTTCTCTCCAATAATCGTCACCGCTTCGGAGAAGTATACCGACTGGCTGAAGTCTCTCGGCGCGACCCACATCCTCCCACGCTCTCTTTCTGCCGCCGCCGTGCGCGCCGAGGTGGAGAGGCTCACCACCCAACCGATCAGCATCGTTTACGATACCGTCGGTAGCACCGATACGCAGAAAACCGGATGGTCCCTCCTCGCTCCGGGCGGTCAGATGATACTGGTCGCAGCTGAGCCTGTCGAGGGCATCGAGCACAAAAAGGATGGTAAAGAAATCGTGAGTGTGTTCGGAAACGTCCACGCGGGTCAGCAGGACGCGGGTCGCGAGCTGTTTGCGCGTCTCGGCCAATTACTTGAGAACGGCTCCATCAAGGTTAGCGTTAGTGTTCGGACTAGTTTTCCAGCTCGTTCATTCAAAGAAGTGGCTGACCTGCCGCTTCGTATTTTATAGCCTAATCGCGTCCAAGTGCTTCCCCATGGTCTGGCGGGTATCCCTGATGGGCTGGAATTGCTGGGACCTGATAAAGTCAGCGGCGTCAAATTGATTGCGCATCCTCACGAGTCTGCATGAGTCTCCATGTCGTATCACCAAGCCATGCAATGAATGGACGAGCATGTTGCGAGTCGAGCTCCTGAAACAAATAAGGTTCCGAGTAAACCGGAGGCGAGGTCCAGCCCTTGAGGGTTCGTCGTCGTAACATCTTCCAAACCTTGCACAAGACTGCACGCGATTCATTGCCAGGAGCGTGACTGGATCAGAGTCTAGTGCTCGGATGAAAATGGAACACGGGAAACGTGGTTCGCCGTTGTCGACTTTGAACGCCATAATACCGTACGGGCGCTCACAATTCAAGCAGTAACGATATGTACCGTTTACTGTCGCCTGCGACGACGATACCACAGACATAAGCGAGCACCTTCTGCTGCACGTCTCTCCCCGCTCTGACCTCTGACATACCGGGTCCCAATTTCGGCCGTTATGGGCGCTATATACTCCCAATACACTCAGATCTTTCCACCGAAATCAACGTGGAGCGTCGACAACATTCCCGATCTGTCCGGGAAGGTCAGTCCTGCCGATACGAGCCAAATTGCGTGCTTTGGTGTCAATTCCATTGCTTTTAACAGGTCATGATTGTGACTGGAGGTAACTCCGGCATCGGAAAGGAGACGGTCAAGGCGCGTCGCTCAGAACTTCATCTACGCTTTGTCGTTGATTTTGAAAATTGTTTTCAGGCTCTGCTCGGGCGTAATGCCAAGGTGCCCATCAGTTCTTCAACTGCCTTGCAAATATGCGTTATACAAGACACCTGCAGGTGTATCTTGCAGCAAGGGACGAGTCAAAAGCAGAAGAAGCGATTCGAGAGCTGAAGGAAGAAACAGGGCGGGAGGCCGTATTCCTGAAGCTTGACCTGGGCGATTTGCGGAGCGTCAAACGCGCTGCTGAAGAATTCCTCCGGTGAGCACCCACAGTTATTTGACTAGACCTTGCCACTAATCCACCGATTATTAGCCGGGAGAAGCGACTGGACGTACTCTTCAACAACGCGTACGTCGAATAAACTGTCAGTTGTTGGCAATGTATGGCTCGACACGTCACGTATTGTCAGTGGTGTGGCCGTCCCGCCCATGGAGCTGGTTACAGATCAAGGCTACGATCTACAGTTCGGTCAGTCATCCATAATACCCGATTGCAAGACTAACCTTCATTCGCCATAGGGACTAATGTGTTGGGTACGCGCGTTGAAAACCTACTTCTGCGGACGCATCGACCATCATCGACCGTCATCAGGACACTTTTACCTGACGAAACTACTCCTTCCCGTCCTTCTATCCACGGCTGGATCCACGCACCCGGGAAAAACCCGCGTGGTCAATACATCGTCTGTTGCTCACTACCATCCATTCGGGCCTCCGCTGGACTTCGACACATTCAAGGACAGCCCCAAGCGCAGGAAGACGAGCAAGGTCAAGTTGTACGCACAGAGTAAATTCGTACGTCTCCAGTTCGTTTCATTTCTCCGAGCCGGGATTACGCGCTTACCGCTTGGTCCTGGGACTGTTGACAGGGAAACGTCGTTTTCGCAAACGAGCTGGAGAGACGGTACGGCACTCGTGGGATTGTCTCGACCTCCCTTCACCCCGGTATGTATTCAGGACCGGTACCGCCATCTTCAGTGCGCATACATTCTCACCTTTGCGCGGACAAGGTGTCATAAAAACCAACATTTGTTAGTCGCCACCCATCGGCCCGTTGCTCACACGCCCGTATTGACATCGTTTGGATGGCCAACAGCACGTAACAACAGCCCGCTCCTGAGATCCCTCATCGTGAGCTCTCCGTTCTCTCGTCTGTACCACGCTCCTCAGGACCATCTCGCTGGACGCACAGAACATGATATATCCGCACGCCTCGCACGGCGCGCTCACGCAGCTATGGGCGGGAACCTCGCAAGAGGGACTTGAACTTGGCGGAAAGGTCGGTGCATTGGGGCCCCTGCGATGCCTACTCGTGAAGTGCTGAGATTCGGGTCTTCGCATTCAGTACTTGATACCTTGGGCTCGGATCGGTACGCCGTACGGACCGACGAACGACCCTGCGCTGGGTAGGGATCTGTGGGTCTGGATGGAGGAGCAAGTGCAGGATATTTGAATAGTTACGGACCCCATACGCATGTGATACGCGCGTCGCGGTTCGCTGCTTTCCCCGACAACTGATAGTCATACAACACCCTGTTACTGCTGTGACGATACATATATGTTGTTCTGCTGACAACCGTGGATATACGATACAACACTTATGCGGTTTCCTGAGGACGAGCAACCAACTTGACGCCGCTGACCTTGTCCTGGCGGAGCTGCTCCAGCCCGTCGGGAATACCCGCCAGCCCGTTCGGCAGGATCTGCACGCGATTCGGCTACATGGGACGGGCACGCGTCAGCGAGCAAGGGGGGCAAGAGAACGAAAGAAAGTGCACCCACCCTGATCGAGCCGTCCCGCAGCAGCTGCGTGAGGCGCGCGTACATGTCGCGCCCGGCCTCCTGCTGCCCGGGATAATTCACGTTCCCGAACACGTGCTGAACGTCCTTCCCGTCCTTCCCGGGGACGACGCCGGCGCTCGCGTCCGGGGGCAGGACGAGGAGCAGCTGCTCGCCCGGCGCGAGGAGCGACCACGCCGTCCGCTGCGTGTCGGCCACGCTGACGGTGTCGTACACGAACTCGATCGGGTGCGGCGTGATCTTCGCGATCTCGGACGCGAGCGCGTCGGCGGCGAGCGTGCGGGGTAGGACGTGCGTCGTGCCGAGGGACTTGAGGAAGTCGGCGTGCTTCTCGGACGCGGTGGCGACGATCGGGGAGAAGCCCATCAGCCTCGCGAGCTGGATCACTGCCGGGTGATCGAGGTTTCTTCTTAGCGATGACCGTCTAGGAATGGGGATCGGTAAGGTCGGGGCTCACCGAATTGGCCGACGGAGGTAGCGCCGCCGAGGACGACGAACGGCTGGCCGGCGTAGGCGGTGTTCGACTGCCAGAAGGGCATGAGCTCGGCGCCGCCGCCTTGGCTCCCCGCGGGCTTCTTCTTGTTGTAAAGCGCGAGGTAGGCGGTGGCGAGCGTAAGCGGGACTGAGGCGGCCTCGTCGACGGATACGTTGTCCGGGATCTTCGCGGCGAGATCGGCGGCGGCGAGGGCGTACTGCTGGAACGTCGCGCGGGGGTTCTCGAACTTGCCCTGCCACAGGCTGATAGAGAAATCGATGTCAGATCAGGTCCGGGTGACGGGGGGAGGATGAAAAATAAGATGGAGCAGAGAGAGACGCACATCTTATCGCCTTTTTGGAAGCGGGTGACACCCTCACCAACCTCCTCGACGACGCCGGCGCCGTCCGTGCCGAGGATGCCGGGATAGGTCATAACGTTCTTATGGTAGATCGGGAGCTTCCAGTCGACGGGGTTGAGCGCGGTGGCGTCCACCCGGACGAGGACCTCGCCGGCGCCGGGGGAGGGCACGGCGGTGGTTCGAACGTCCCAGTCGCGGTGGTCGGTCAGGAAGAAGAGCGCCTTCTGTTCCTTCGGAGCCATGGTGTAAGGGGATGTGGGGTCGGAGATCGAGGGGACAAGTGTTCTGCAACCGCGTTGCTACTTCGGTACACCGAACGGCGGGATGGAGGGAAACATTATATATGCGTCGTCTGCTGGTTTCCGTTGAGCGCGGATGAAGGAGAGGATGTGTCAGCACGAGCTGGCGTTGTCTACCGTAGGGCGGCGACGATGCGCACGGTCTGAGATGGCCGTAGCGCGACCGTCAACCGAAACTTGGCTCGTTCCAGCAAGTTCCAGCGCTGGCGTCATATATAGATTTTGGAGTTCGTCGGTCCATCTCATTAATCTTGGGTCACAGATCCATGATCAAGCCCCGAACCCCCAGCGCATCTGAACTTCGAAGCCGGTGTCCAAATGTAAACCGCAATCATCAACACCGACGCGAAGCCAATGATAGGTCCAAGAAGAAAACTTCAATGCATGGCCAGCCGCTGAGCCCGGGGTAGATTCTGCGGCATATGGTGGCTCATCGCGTAGTGTACTGTGCTGTGATATGCACTGTCGCAGAGTTGGTGGTGTGGTTGAGTTGCACGCGTTTGTTTGGTGATGCTTGGCGTCGCGCCTGCTCGCTTCAACTCCTCCCAGGCTCATAATATTGTCCGCTAACGACCGCCTCCTTCGTCCTATTTCTGCCCTGCAGGTTCTATCAGCTGCGCCCGACGAGCGGATCTCGTGGGCTACATTTTACTTAACTACGACCGAGCGCGTGTAGGAGGCGCGCCATTGCGGGGTACATCACATCGACAGGTCCATCTACGATACATCTCGTGCTACGCCACAGGACTAGCAAACTACTACGGAGGGCTTGATCAATACTCTAGAAGGGGACGATGTCGCGCCTGCGGATTGATACAAGCGTTAACAGGCTCGCGGGCCCTTCAAGTTCCTCCGCCGGCCCTTCGTCGCGATCGCGCTCGCGCAACATTACGCCAGCTTCGACAGTTACGACGAGCGGCAATTCACTGGCGGTCGGTACCCAGCGCCTGCGTAGCCCGTCGACGGCCTCCTCCTCCTCCTCTCTCTCCATTATGTCACCCATGCCCGACTCGGCCGCCTCCGCGTCGTCCTCATCTCTTCACCTCGCTGCCGCCTCCACCTCCACCTGCGCGACCATCTCCACCGCGACCACCGCTCCTTCGCACTCCTTCTCTTCCGGCGCGACATATGACACACGCGCGACCTCTCCCGACACGGATGAAGCGTCCGCCTGCACTCAGACCGCCTCCGGCGGCAACGACTTCGTGCTCGCGATGCACGACTTTGCGCCGCAGCACCAGAGTGCGACCTGCCTCGCGTTCCGCGCGGGCCAGGTCATTCACGTTCTCAACCGCGACCCATCCGGGTGGTGGGACGGCGAGCTCGACGGGAGGCGGGGCTGGTTCCCGAGCAACTACGTCAGCTCCGAGGTAGGATCCATAATGGAAGAGCAGTCGCCCGTGAAGTCGGTACGCGCATACATTCCGCCATTTGCTGCACCAATACTGACCAGACACTAAGCGAACACGTCCCGGGCACGCGCACTCCCAATCCGTAGCCTCCGTGGCCTCCGTTGCCTCTTGGGCAAGCACACCCTCACCAATGCACCATACTTTCTCTCGCCCCTCCTCCTCCCACCGCCCTTCTAAATCGCATCCACACATCTCCACTCCGTCCCCCTCCCACTCGCGGTCGCGCTCTGCCTCCCCCGACACCTCGGCCCCCGCCTACCCCCCGCTCATGCACCCACTCTTGCACGCCCTCTCCCTGCTCCAAACCGCCGTCGCCTCACATCGGCCGGCGCACTTTCAGCCGTCAACGGCCTACGTCGTTTCTGCCGTGCGCGCAGCTCTCGACGCGGCCGACTGTCTCCCGCGCGAGGCACCCCACCTCGCGCGTCACCCCGCGCTCGCCGCCGCACGCAAGGCGCTCCTCGGCGATCTCGCGGCCCTCGTCGCGCAAGCGAAAAAGGCGTCGGCGGTAGCCGATGAACACACCGCCGCGGATGGATTGGGGGAAAAGGAGGGTGGCGAGGGTAGGAAGGAAGTGACGCGCATGCTTCGTTTGGGCGGGCAGGTCTTCGCTCACGTCCGACGGTTCCTGGCCATCGCGGCGCAGTGCGGGGTCGAGCTTTCGACCCCGCCGCAACAGCAGCAACAGCGCTCCTCAAACGGTTCGGCATACGACGCCATCGCGCCGCATCGAGCGGTGACGAACGAAAACGAGCCACCGGGCGCGGACGCCCCGCGCGCGGAAGACGACGGCGAGGACGCGACAGCGACCGTCGGCCGTGCGCCGCTGCGGACGACGAACGGGATCGTCCAGAAGATTCAAATGCGGCGCATGACGCGCGAGCGGTCGTTGCCCGGCTCAGTGCCCGGAACACCGGGCGCGGCCCTGCGCGCACGAAGCTTGGGCGACCTCAAAGCAGCGCGGGCTACCGCCGCCGATGCGCCCCCGCTCCCTGTAACGCGACAGTACGGAATGCAGCAGCAACAGCGACAGCAGCAGCACCGCATACCGTCCGCCCCTCTGTTCACCCGCCACAGGCACGACCGCTCGTTCAGCAGCCTCTCCTCCGCGTCGTCCGCGTCGTCCTTCTCCTCGGCATCGTCGACCGCGTCCGGCTCAGCGCCCTCGACGCCCCCGTCCCACTTCCGCTTCCCGGCCGGGGAGAACGGGAGCGTCTCCGTGAGCGCGGCCGAGCTCCACGACGCGCTCCGCCACACCCACGACGCGTACCTATCCACAATCGCCGCCTTCGTCGGCCACGCGCACTCTCACTCGCGCGCGAGCCACGCGAGCAGCACAGGCCACATGTTCGAGCTCGCGCGCGAGATCGTGGAGAGCGTGTGCCGGCTGCTGGGCATCGTCGACGCCGTCATGCGCCACCCCGCGCTCGCGGACGCCGCCGCCACCGCCCATAACCCTCGTCGGTTCAGCAAGGCGGAATATGCGGGCAACAACGCGCAGGGGTACGTGCTCGGGCTTGCGCGCGCGAAGGACGCGCTGTACGCGGTCACGGCCGCGTTCGCGGAGAGCGTGCGCACGCTCGGGCGGGAGCTCCCGGAGGGGGTGTCGGAGGAGGACGAGCGGGCGGCGCTGTTGAGGGCCGCGACGGGCGCGTTGAAGGCGGGCGCGGAATGCGTGGCGGCGGTGAGGATGTGTGTCGGGCGGAGTGGGGTCGCTGGGCCGTTCGTGGTGTACGTGGGGCCGGGCCCGCCGGAAGCGAAGGTGGGCGAAGAGGAGGTACCAGAGGAGAGGGAGACGGAGGAGCAGGAACCGGACAGGACAGAGAGGGTGGGCAGGCCTGCGGGAGTGTTGAGGGCGCTGTATAAGGCGCAGGGCGTGGAGGACGATGAAGACTTGACGATACAGGCGCAGACGCCGAGTCCATCGTCGTTCGTGGTGCCCGCTCGGGGCGGGGTGCTGCCCACGCCGCCGCCGAGACCGGCGTTTGCATTGCCGTCGCACGTCGAGAGGGAGGTACCGTTGATATCGCCGGCGGTCGAAGATAAGCCACTCCCGCCCCTGATGGAGCCGGACGCAGACGTGGAGCCGCCAGAACCGTCGCCGCGCTCGCCCGTCTTGTCCGTCACACGCACGGAGGACGACAGGACGACATGGGAGGGCAGCCAAAGGCATCACGAACGAGAGGCTGCCGCGGCCGCGCTCGAGGACAAGCTCGTCCGTGGGGATCTGCCGTCCATACCACCGGATGCGGACCCTACAACATGGATCCTCTCGCACGACCACGCAATGGAGGATGTTGCGTACAACACGGAGGGCCTGCTCGTTGGCGCGACGCTGCCCGCGCTTGTGGAGAAGATGACACCGCACGACAGCTTGGTGGACACGACATTCGCGAGCGTGTTCTTCCTCACCTTCCGCGCCTTCGCGACCCCAACCGAGCTCGTGCGCGCGCTCATCGCGCGCTACAATGTTGCGCCCCCGCGCGGGCTCGCCCCCGAGGACCTGTACGTCTGGCAACAGCGCAAGGGCGTGCCCGTCCGCTTGCGTGTGTCCAACTTTGTCAAGGCCTGGCTCGAGGTGCACTGGCGTCCGGCGAGCGATAACGCGGTGATCCCCGCGCTGGCCGACTTCACGCAGAATGCGCTCCGCGCGATGTTTCCAGGGCCTTCGCAGCGGATCATGGATTTGCTCGCGCTCCGCAGCCAAGCGGATGGCGGCGCGGCGGCGGCGAGCCCGAAAGGAACGCGGCGCGATGCGGGGATGCCGATCAGCCCGCCCTCTGTCCCACCGACGGAGGTCCCGCGTCCGGTGATGACGAAGACGCTCCTCGCCTCGCTGCGCGCACGCAACTTCGCGAACATAGCCGTGACGGACTTCGACCCTCTCGAGCTCGCGCGCCAGATGACAATCATGGAGTGCGAGCTTTTCTGCGGGATCGTGCCGGACGATTTGCTCGAGATCGGGCAGGAGGGCGCGAAGTCGCCCGCGAATGTCCGGTCGGTGACGCAACTCAGCACGGTAATCACCGGCTGGGTGACCGAGAGCATCCTCAATGAACCCGACACGAAGAAACGCGCAACATTGGTTAAGTTCTTCATCAAGGTGGCGGACGTAAGTACAGACCTTCACGTCAGTGTTTCTAGTATCTCTGCTAATGCTGATGATGGTTCTCAGCGCTGTACGACCTTGAACAACTTCAGCACGTCACGTTCAGTGCTAGCTGCGCTTGATTCGTCAACAATCTCGCGGCTGCACCAGACCTGGAACGTGAGTACGAGGCGCGACCGCGGATTCGACGACGCTGACGTGGTGGTGCTCCTGTGTAGGCGATCCCCCAGAAATACAAGGTTCAGCTTGAGGCCATGCGGAAGCTCGCGGACCATTCGAGGAATTACCGGGAATACCGGACGCGGTTACGGAATACACCCCCGCCAGCCGTTCCGTTCTTGGGTGAGAACCCCGGCGTTCATTCTCCACCCCACACGATTAACATTCGCACAGGCTTGTACTTGACAGATATCACCTTCTGTCGAGAGGGCAACCCATCCCATCGAGCGTCTCCACTGGCCCCGGACAGGAAGCTTATCAACTTTAACAAGTACCACAAACTGGCACGCATCGTGCAAGGTAAGAACAGACCTATCATTTGAATCTGGGACAGACAGTGACGGAAGTCATGCAGACATGCAACGGTTCCAAGTGCCGTATACTTTGAAAGGTATACCGGAAGTGCAGGACTTCCTTCAGTTTGCGTTCAGGTCCTCTCGGTCGAGCACCGGCGACATCCAGGATCTCTACCGTCGCAGGTACGCAGTATCAAACACTTACCCGTGTATACGCTGAATCCACATTCTGCTTTGAAGTCTGCTTGTGGAGCCCCGACAGCCTGCCGACGCGCCTCCAACCAGCGACGTGCGGCAAATCTTCCCTTGGGGCAACCGCTCCCAACCGACTACTTCCGTTCCTTGAGCCCCTCTCTACTCCGCTCTCTCCACTTGCACTATCTCTCTCGCATGCTATCACCATCTTCTCGTCTGGAATGGCATCGAAATATCTTAATTCGTTGATCATCTCTTGGGACACCGCATCTGGCTGGACTATGCTATCTATCATACTGTTGTTTTCGATAACGATCTTTGCTTTCGAGAGCTTTCCTCCTTGTTTGTATCCGTACCTCTGAAGGTTTACGCGATTACTGTCATCGCACGCAATTGATGACTTGACCCTGTCCAAGGGCATCGAATAGCTTGGCGTCGTACATTCCCATGGATGATCCTACGCGGCGGTACACTACGACGCCTCACACCGTCTCTTGAGGACGGACAACCAGTTTGAGGCCGCTAACCTTGTCCTGGCGCAGCAATTCCAGTCCACCGGGTATCCCAGCGAGGCCGTTGGGAAGCAATTGAACACGGTGTGGCTATAAATCATAGGAGAGATCAGCCCTCGTTTAAAAGCAGAAGGGCAATCCTGATCTCTACCTTGATGGATCCATCTTGCAGAAGTTGGGTGACCCTTGCGGACAGCTCGCGTCCCGCCTCTTCCTGGCCCGGCCAATTGGTGTTTCCAGACACCTGCACCACCTCCTTCCCGTCTTCGCCGTGCGCGATGCCCTCGACGGGTGGCCAGACGAGAATGAGCTGACCGCCCGAGGCGAGGAGCGACCACGCTGCGTGCTGTGTCGCCGCGATGCTGACGGCGTCGTAGACGACCTTGATGGGGTGCGATGTGATCTTGCTGATCTGAGAGCGGAGGGCGTCCGTGGGGAGGGTGCGGGAGAGGACGTGCGTCGCTCCGAGGGACTTCAGGAACGCGGCGTGCTTCTCGGACGCGGTCGCGATGATGGGAGAGAAACCAGACAACCGGGCGAGCTGGATAACTGAACGACGCATTGAACTTTCGTTGCATACGGTATGACACGTCGGTTGCGCTCTCACCGAATTGGCCGACAGAGGTGGCGCCGCCGAAAACAACGATCGGCTGGCCTGTATAGGCGGTCGATGACTCCCAGAACGGCGTCAATTCCGCACCTCCACCGCGGTCATCGTTCTTCTTGTTGTATAACCCCAGAAACGCCGTTGCAAGCGTCGCGGGGACAGACGCCGCCTCGTCAATGCCAACGTTGTCGGGGACCTTGGCAGCGAATTCTGCCGTCGCGAGCGCATATTGCTGGAACGTTGTGCGATGAGGCTTGAGATCGCCCATCCATAGACTACATGAAATGTGGCCCTTTTAGTATAGATAGGATATAGTCGATGAATAAGACATACACTCTGTCTCCCTTTTTGAGGTTCGTGACACCCTCGCCGACGTCCTCGACCACTCCGGCGGCGTCGAAGCCCAGGGTCGCGGGGTATTGGAGCCAATCCCGATATGGATCGAGGAACGCGAACTTCCAATCCGCGGGGTTGAGGGCCGTAGCATCGACCCTGACGAGAATTTCGCCCGAACCCGGAGAGGGCACCGGCACGCTTTGCACCACAAACTCGGCGCCCTTGGACGGGATGATGAGAGCTTTGTGTTCCTTTGGGGCCATGATCAGACGTCAATGAGAAGAGCTCGAACCTTGGAACCGAAGGGTATATATGCGCCTTCCCCGCCCCACGTTGTCGCGCTGACAACGTCGCTGGAGTCGCTGTGTCAGCGCGACGCAAGTGCTGCGTCCATGACTCGTCCATGTCGACATACTCAGGAAGACAAACGGAGGGTTATGCTTGTGCTTCCCGGCCAAGTGGGATGCTCGTGAGTCGACCAAGTGGGTTACCCCGCAGTTTCGTGATCGGCAGGCTTCCCGACGGTCGGTACCGTACTTGTTCGTATGTTCGTTCGAGTCATTGCGTCGCACCGTCCGAGTCTTCCAGAACGTGTGCAGAAGGCCGTAACGGACTTCTTCGCCTTGACGGCATTCCCCGTCACCTCTGATCAGAAACCAAAAAAGCTCCCGCCATACCATCTCCCTCCTGTCGTGTTCGTGTAAGAGACCTTTTGTGTCGGGAGAGCTCCTACGGTGATTCGTGTACCGACGTTTTAGCGCTGGCGAGTTCCGAGCCGAACCAAAACCCGCGTCGAGCTGGTGTCCTGGCGTGATCTGGGGCGTAGCCTCCGGGGTGGACAATACTTCAGCTACCCAGGTAGCCCTATGCATGGTCTGCCGTCTCTCTAGACAGGTCAGTGGGCGCACCGGAGCGGAGGCCACGAGTGGCGGTGCCAGTTCTTGGGCGGAGGAGGTCGCCTCGCTGGCTCTCTTGCTTCCGCTTCCGAGGGCGACGAGAGGATTGCCCTCCTTCGTCGTTTTTCGTAGTCAATCCTATTCAAATTCTATTACGATGCCCCCATGCCTCGAGCGACCACCGCTATTCAATAAGTGATTGTCGTCACTATGCAAGAGAGAACTTCAGAGCTTGGCGTCGCACTTGGGGCTCAAACAGGATGGCATGGTCGCAGCCCTCAAGGCTAGGGCACGGCAAGCCCTCCTAGGCGACATCAAGTTCTATATGCAACACCCCGACTACAAAGCTCTGTTCACAAGACAGGAACTCGCCGACATCATCGAAGAGGCGTCGAACTCCTCGGGCTCCCCTTTCCACGGTATCGCACAGGGGGCGGAAGCGGCTCGGGACGAAGACCAGCCAGATGAGGGGGAGGAGGAGGTTGACACGGAGCAGGAGCAGCAGGGTCAGGATGAGGCCTCGAGCCGAGGGGAGGAGGACGACAAAGACAATGCCCAGCCCCCTCCACCATCAGACGACCTGGGTGAGTAACCGCATCCTTCACCGATCGAGGGCATTGGCCCCCACCATCGCCTACTCGTACGCAGCCATATGGTCATCGACGAATCCCCCGAGTTGCATAGGCAACAAGGATGGCCATAGGGCCTCCCCGGTCTCCAACCATATGGTCGGAACCGGTCGCCATAGGGCACCAACCAGTCCGCGTAGCCATAGGGCATACGGCTGATGCTCACACAGGTGGTTCAACTCCCCCGACCCCACCCATGTCCCCAACGCCATCTGGGCGCGGCGACCTCACACCCCAAGGGCACGGTCCGAGGCACCAGACGGGGAGGGACGCCAGCGAGTCAGGGCTGGAACCCGACGGGCATCCGTCCGGACATCACCACCGGAAACGGACGCGCCAACACTCGCATCCCAGAATGCACCACTCGCGCCGCGCGTCGCCGGAGAGGAAGAGAAGGAGACAGGAATCCTCCCCAGGGTCACACGACAGAGCGCAGAGTGACGACGAGGAAGGCTCGAGATCTCGCCGTAGGTGTCAAGATCGGATACAGACAAGGGGTAACGGAGTCGGAGGACCGAAGTCCAAAACGTATATACGTAGAATAGAATGAAATAGAAGAGAGGAACTCAAGAATGAAGTCGGAGCGGAGTCGGAGACGCGTTGGAGACGCGTCGGCGTGAAGTCGATAAGTCGGAAACGTTGGTGGAGTCGAGATCGGATGCGGACCAAGCCTAAGCTCGTGCGCTAGGCTGCTACACGCTCTGAGTCCGCAGGAGGAATAGAGTGAAGCTTAGTCGATATTCGAACTGACTATCTACGGTACAGTTCGACGGTTTATATGTACAAAAGAGAACAATGGCAAAGTCGGAGAGTCGGAGATCGGAGGTGCCATTCGGCGCACAAAGGGAACATTCAGAGACGAGAGATATCGTATGGAACACAAAGGGAACATATCTACGGAAGAGGCGGAAAGATCGGACCGAAAGATCCGTCGCAAGCGACGGGAAACTAAAGTCTACAAAGGGAAGCTATGATGTCAGACAAAGGGAACAGGAAACAGGAAAATCGGAGTTGAATCCGTTCAAGATCTGGAACCACCGGGGCGTTGAGCCGCCGGTGGCCCAGTGCATGTGATAGGCGTATCCCGCCTTCGACCGAAACGGGAAAGTCGGGATCGGCGTCGGTGAAGGAGGCGGCGAAGGGTCGGAGATCGGATCGGAGGAGATCGGTGTAGATCGGTGACAATCGGCGGAGCGGATCGGCGTAGGTCGGTCTGGATCGACACGTGACAGTAGGAGACGTTACGCGCGGTCCCCGTCATCCTCAGGCAGCTCTTCGCAAGGGTCGCGGCTGTCGTCAAGGAGTTCGTCCGGGGGAAGCTATGAGCGCAGGCCATCGAGAAGTTCATCGCCAGGGTCCTTGCCGTCCTACCGGTTGAGGACGACGCATGCACGTCGCCGATCCCCGCGCAGAGACCACGCACGGACTCGACGCTCGAGGTCAGAACGGCACATACACCACGTGCAGGAGACGGTCAAAGGTCCACACCGCCCCCACCTCGTCAGGGGTAAGCAGGCCAAAGCCGACTGCTACTCGATCCCCGACCCCATCCGGAAGAAGTTCCAGGAGGGGTGGACGACGCATATCCCGCTGAATTATCTTACCGACAAGGCCGTTGCGGATTACGGCTGCGATACATCGTCCCTTCTCACCGATATGTACGCGGTCGACCCCGCGAGGGGCCTCATCCAGGCGGAGAAGGTTCTCCCGTCGGCCGGGGAACTGAAATTGTCGTTCGGGGAATGGCACCAAGCATGGAAGCGGCTACTGCAGCTGATCAAGGCTTATTTCCCCCGTGACTACGAGCGGTGGAAGAAGCATTTCCAGCGCATATGCTGCACGGATGGAGCCACCTCGGAGAATTGGACCCTGTGGCTCACCTATGACGCGGAGGTCCGCCGCTGGTGTCACTTGGAAGGTATAGACCCCGGGGCCTTCCATAAGAACATATGGAAGAAGGTGGAACCCGCGCATATCAAAGCACAGGTCATGGCCTCCCTGCAGCCCTTTCGGGCCCAAACCGCATCGCGGAGCTCCGGCTCCAGACCTGAGCAACTGTCAAGGCACACATCCGGGTGGGCTCAGCCCTCCTTGCCAAAACCCATCGACTCACGATGCTTCTTTTGCGGTGGAAAGGGACACAAGGCCTCGGCCTGCAAGGCCGACAGGCTCGTCAACGGCCAGCCGGTCCAACTCACCCGCGGCGACGATCGCTCGGTCAAGGACGAAAAAGGCCGTCAGTACTGTTTTTACTTCAACATGGCCGGCGGGTGCACAAAGAAAGACGCCGGCCCTTGCGCTAAGGGAGACCACCGGTGCACGCTCTGCGGAGGTACAAATCACGGAGCCCAACTGTGCACCATTGTGTGCTGAGGCCCTCCGAATCGTCACCCCTGTCACGTGTCGGATCTTGGGCCATAACCGGGCCAAGTACGATAGCTCCGGTCATTCCGGGTTGTCCGCCATCGGAGTAGCAGCTCCGGTACCGGACCTACGTTATCACATGAATAGTCCTCCGGCGACTCAACGTCCCGGTAGTTCTCGAGTCATAACGGATTCAACTCCGACGTTCACGATCGATATGCCTTTAACGGTTTGATATTCCCTTCGGACTTGGATGCGAGCAGAAAGCCGAGATATTGGTACGGCCTCGCAGAGATCACGGCGTTGGCAGACGGCCTAGGGTGGCCATGGAAACCATTGAAGACTCATGATTTCGCCCAGGTTTTCAAGTACCTGGGATTCATATGGGACCTGGTGCTGAAGCGCGTCTCGATCCCAGACGAGAAGAAGCTGTGCTACTTGAGTAAACTAGAAGCTTGGACACCGGGCAATTCCTTCACGAGGATGGAGGCCGAACGGATTCTCGGCACTCTCGTGCACTGCAGCATGGCCATTCCAGATGGACGGTCGCGTCTCGTGCATCTCTCCAAGTTCACCAGTTCCTTTCATCATTCCCTGTCACCATTTGCGAAGAGAAAACCGAATGCACAAGTACTCGACGACATCGAGTTCTGGAGAACCCAACTGCGGCTGCAAGAATGCGGCAGTACGCTTATGATACCGACATTCGTGTCAACATGCGACCTCTGGGTTGACGCCTCCACATCATTCGGGGTCGGAGCAGTCATCGACGACGCCTGGGAGGCGTGGTCATTCAATCTGGGCTGGAAAACCGACGGGCGCGATATCAGCTGGGGAGAAATGGTCGCGGTCGAGTTCGGATTGAGGTTAGCCATCGCGAGAGGTGTCTCGGATGCCTGTTTGATCATGAAGTCGGACAACCAGGGCGTCATCGGCACCCTGGAGGCTGGAAAATCTAGGAACGTCGAACAAAACCGGGTCCTTCAAAGGGTAGTCGCGCTCATGCGCGAAGCTAATATTTGGACTGTATCCCAAGCATCTGAAAAAATCTTGATCTATATAGCTGCCCCTCAGAACTATGGACACTATTGTCGTGCTATGGATGCTATATAGAAGTCACCCAGTTGCTATATAGTGCTATGGTTGCTATGTAGAAGTAGGTCAGTTGCTATATAGTGCTATATAGTAATTATAGGTAATATAGTTCAAAGTACTAGCTACATAGTGATACATAGCTCATAGGTGCAGTCGATATAGCACCCATAGATTTGGTATGTATCTGTATAGTGGTGATAGCAGGGCTCCCAACTTACACCTACCATGATCTAAGTCAGTCTCAGGTCCTGAACTGTAATGTTAGCCTATACATTGTCATTTATATGCATGAATAAACTATGTACAAGGTGGCTAAGTATCAAGGAGCTTGTGAACTATATGAGACACAGTGGCCAACGCGGACTTAGGAGATTCAACACAAACCCATGCATCACGTGATCTGGCCGTGACGCGTGGTTGCCCTTCGTGCTGGCAAACGTGGCTCTCAGCCCACCGCGCTGGCAAATGCGTACGACTCAGCGCTGGCAAGTGCGCACATCATCGCGCAAGTCGCTGCGCCCGCCGTCACATCCAGCCCCGAGCATCTGAAATGCCCGCCCCGCTGCCGCCCGGTTTCCCCGCCCTCACGGGCCGCCAACGCGGTCGCGTTTGGTGTCGTCTCGCCTCCCTGCCCCTCTCGTTCGCCCAGTCCCGAGCGCGGGCCGCCAACGCGGTCGCGCTCGGCGCAGCCTTCCACCTCCTCGCCCCCCTTTCGCCAGCCCCGAGCGAGAGCCGCCAACGCGGTCTCACTGGGCGCCGCCTTCCCGCCAGCCTCCCGCCAGCCTCCCGCCTCTCGCCCGCCTCCGCCCAAAGCCGAGCTCGAGCCGCGAACGCGGTCGGACTCGGC